TCTACACTGTTTGTTTCGGCTATTTTCCTTGTGTTGCATTTGACGGTCTCCAAACGTTGCAGAAAACCAAGAGAAGCGAAGCAGTGGGAGCCGCAAGGCAGAGCAAACGGCCAACGAGAGGGCGAAGGGGGGCATTGCGCTGTTTGGTCGCCGCTCTTCTTGGCCCGAGCGGCCAAGCAGACGGACGCTCCGCTTCTGCCGTCGCCCGATCCAGTCGGGTCCTTCGTCCAGTGTGGAGCAGCTCGGAGTTTTCCCTGGAGGGGCGTTTCGCGGGCGGGCGGTGACGACGGCAGCAGCAGCAGCTTTGCCCTCATCCCGGGAGGGATGAAAGAGGCGGGGCCGGGAGCTGCCGGGTGGACCTGCCTCTGAGAGGTCGGGGACCGCGACGCGGAGGGTGCGGTTGTCGGTCTCGGCAGCCGAGTTGACGGGCGGGTGATGGGGAGCCTGGAACTGATCGGGCTGTTCCTGGCCGTTTCCGGAGTCCTGGCGGCTTCCCCTCGCTATCCAAGATGGGCGACGGCGGCCGGCAAAACGGGGCACGAGGAGCTGCTGTTCTTGAGCCCCGGGACGACGGGGACGACGACGCCGGCCTCGTCCCCTTTCGCCTCTCTTTGGCCGCTGCCGCAGTCGCTCCGCGTCTCCCCAAAGAGGTTCCGCCTGGCGCCCAATCAGTTCCAGATTGTCCACGGGCCGGGATCCTCCGCGGGTCCGACTTGCTCGTTGTTGCAGGACGCTTTCCGCAGGTGAGTGAGTGGTCTCCTTTCTCTTTTGGACGTGTTAGAGCGGAATACTAGGAGCGGGAAAGCAAAAGAGGAGGGGGGGGAATCAGCCTAGTAACCTTGGCGTAGAAGAAAGATTATATTGCGCGTAAATATGGGACCCAAAAATATCATTTGGTTTTTGAGTGAATTTGAGAGTACTATTGTTGTATATAGTTTATTTAGTACTATTTTTAATGATTAAAGTGATGTTATTATTATTGTTTTTAATAACTGTATATTTGTCTAAAAGAGAGTTAAAGGTTATAGATATGTTATCTTAATAGTTGATTAATGTTGGTTAGAGCAGTGGTTCTCAACCTTTTTAATGCCGTGACCCCAACCGGTCGTAAGTCGAGGACTAAACCGGTCATAAGTCGAGGACTAAACCGGTTGTAAGTCGAGGACTACCCAACCGGTCGTAAGTCGAAGACTTTCCCTGCCCGGGAGCGCCGCACATGCGTGGTTCCGCCCCCTGCGCCAGCCGAGGCGTAGCTGGCAAGCGGCAGAGGCGGAGCAGGCCGACCACCAGCTGGCCCAGCCCAAGGGAGGTAAGGCACCCGCCAGAAAAGGGAAAAAAAATGGCGGACAAAAAAAATGGCGGACAGCCTTGCTTGGCGACCCCCGTGAAATGGTCGATCGACCCCAAATGGGGTCCCGACCCACAGGTTGAGAACCACTGGCATAGAAGAAAGATTATATTGAGCGTAAATATGGGACCAAAAAATATCATTTGGTTTTTGAGTGAATGTTAGAGTACTATTGTTGTATATAGTTTATTTAGTACTATTTTTAATTATTAAAGTGATATTATTATTGTTTTTAATAACTGTATATTTGTCTAAAAGAGAGTTAAAGGAGGTCATAGATGTGTTATCTTAATAGTTGATTAATGTTGGTTAGAGTATGATTATTTTATTGTCAACCCTGTGATTGGCTCTGGGAAGTGGGGGGGGAGGGAGGGGGCAGTGGAAGGGAGGGTTTGGGGAAGGGGGGGATTTATATTGTAAAATTTTCAATAAAGAAAGAACTCCGGAATGATGTTTGCAGAACTGCAGGATAATTTTTCTCCTAATGAAGCCTTAGCCAAAGAGGCTACCTTGAGCGTGGGGAGCAAAGATGTCATCTCCCTTGACTCTTAGCTCTCAAAGCCATAGGAGACAAAAGTGTTTTAGAGTCTTCCCGCAATGAGTTGCCTGTCAGCATTCATGGAAGACCTCCCAATCTCTCCCTTTTGGGAGAAATGCAAAGACGTAGGGTCGTTTACTAACTGGTCTTTTATTCTACACAGCGGTCTTTGTTCATTATTTAATCAGCCATGACTCACACTGGAAGCCTCTGTTTTCATTATTTTTAAAAGTGCGTGATTGTTGTCTGTCTGATACTAACTTGGGATAGTTGTAGGTCTATTACCAATAAGAGAATGCATTGACTATTACATAACCTCTAGCATCCAAGTGCATAAAAATATGCATTTTTACAGATTAATTTTAAATATTGATGGTGGAGATTCTCAGCATACTTCAGTGAGGCAACAGATAGCAGGAAATGCATGGTTAATGCTCCCTTCCATTATAGGTTGGATAATTACATTGAAATGATCTCGGAGACAACTTCTTTTCAACTTAGAACAATCTTTCCCAAGTTGGTACATTCAGAATTTACCATTGGCAACATAAAGTATCTGCAGTTGCAAACAAGTAACATCATAAACACAATAACTATTCAGAGTCACTGGGAGTCAGGTGGCACGTAAATTTAATAAATAATCGCACAAATGAGATATTAATGTCATAAGGTGACCAGATTACAGAAATCACATCATTTGTGAGTAATGTTACAATATTATGAATTATCAACATAAAGGCTGTTGCTGCAACTAGTTCCCATGTTGGCTGGAAATTGTGGGTAGGTGTTGAGTGATAAAAGGAGAGGATCTTAAAAATAATCAAATTTTGCTGAATTTCAAAATCCACACTAACACAGAATTGGTGTGTTCAGATCTACTTAACAGTTCTGTTTCAGTAATTGGGAGTTATACAGTTATGCTAACCTATTTCTTGTCTTGTTGACTTTCAGTTTAATTCAATGTTTGAATTCAGTCATTATAGTTAGAACAAGCCATGGTTCAATGTGATGAAATCATTGTTGATTCACATATTGCTTTGAGAATCAATGTTCAAGGAAATTATTTCTGACCAGAAATAACTTGAAAACTTGTTAAAATAACCCAAATTACTAGCACTATATTGTCTTTCTATTATGAAAAAATAACAGTAGCTTGTCTTTTTTAATTATTAGATTTGGGTTTCTTTGGTTTCTGACAATCTTGCTAGAAAGCAAATTTTGAATAACATTTTTTCTGTGCCATTGAATTTACTTACAGGTATTATGAATATATGTTTGGTTATCCCAAATGGCAGAATCAAAATGAGAAAAAACCCCTATGTGAAACAGAATTGTCCTTTCTTCAGGTGATCATCACTTCAAAGGATTCTGAATGTGATAAATTCCCTAGTATTACATCAGATGAAGCCTGTGAGTATTTGAAATATAAATGTGTACAAAATTGTGCCTGTCTTCTGTCTTCCTTATTTTCTTGCATCTTATGGGTATGTTATTGGACGATATTTTAAATCATCTGTAATAACCCCTTTCTTATCTAATAATTTTATCTGTGAGTAATTGAATAAAATATTACAATATTGCAGGTCAAAATTTCTTTAATAAGACTCATTGTGACTAATATATGTATTTATGATACAGTTATATAGTGTCAGCCCCTTGAGGTAGTTCTGATAAGAAACCAAAATCATGAGCTTCACTAGGTTACAATAACAGAATCTTGCATGTCTGAAAGCACTTCTGCCTTTACTTTCCAGAGAATTAGGGAGGATCCCTTCTGAGACATTTTCCACATTCCCATTCCTTGTAGCCGGACATCTTTTGTCTGACCGCTAACTAGGCTGTGGCTCTTCTTGCTGACTCCCAAGGTTATTTTCACAACACATTACTCATAGCTTATCTCGTTACAAAAATGGATGGAGATGAAGCATATCATTACACAAATTAGATGTATATATTTTGATACTTGAAATATTTGATGAACGCAAAAGGGACTGGCAATAAAATTCAGTATTCTATTAGATGGCTCCTTCTCAAAGATACGTTATTCATTTCCTCATTCTGAATCTTTTTTTATCTCCTTCCCCATACAATTCATTAGTATTCCACATGCTCAGGAGTCAGTGCACTGATTTTGGAATTGTTTCCGTCTCATTAAAGGCTTTATTTTGAATAAAATATTAAAGTTTCCCTGTGAAGTGAGGATAATGTAATCCTGAATTTATAAGGATTCTGAATTTCAGTAGAAGGAATGCAGCTTGATTGTCATCCTGTTAACATTGTTTTTTTTTTCCTAATCTATTCAGGGATGTGGGTATCTATGAATGAATGGCCCTGAACATTTTCTAAGCTGGAGGAAATTTCAGTTCCTTTTCAGAGCAATGTATCTGCAAATGACATAAATAGGGAAATACTGCACACATTTCTCTTTGTGCCTGGGCTTTGCACTTTAGCTAGAAACCTTAGTATATATGAAAGGCATTAGAGTTCTATTGATCCCATCCATGGAGCCATCCCATCTATTGTAGCCATGTACAGTACTGTGAGCTTCTTAGAAATGTTTGTTGATTTCCCTGGTTCCACTGCAAAAACAAATGAGGGGTGAATCAGGTTCACAAATCTGTTTCCTGAGCAACTTCATTCACTTTGGGAAATAACAAGTAACATATACCTGATATCAAGAAATTGCTATTCCTTAGAGCAGTGATTCTCAACCTGTGGGTCAGGACCCCATTTGGGGTCAATCGACCATTTCATGCAAGGCTGTCTGCCATTTTTTTTGTCCGCCATTTCTTTTTTCCGCCATTTTTCCCCCTTTTCCGGCGGGTGCCTTACCTCCCTTGGGCTGGGCCAGCTGGGGGTCGGCCTGCTCCGTCTCTGCCGCTTGCCAGCTACGCCTCGGCCGGCGTAGGGGGCGGAACCACGCATGCGCGGCGCTCCCGGGCAGGGAAAGTCCTCGACTTACGACCGGTTGGGTAGTCCTCGACTTACGACCGGTTTAGTCCTCGACTTACGACTGGCTTAGTCCTCAACTTACGACCGGTTTAGTCCTCGACTTACGACCGGTTTAGTCCTCGACTTACGACCAGTTTAGTCCTCGACTTACGACCGGTTGGGGTCGCGGCATTAAAAAGGTTGAGAACCACTGCCTTAGAGGCTGCTTGTTGTGGGAAAGTGACCTGCCTTGTATGGGCTTAGTTTCCTTTCATTAGACCTATAGAACAACTGCTTCCACGTTTCGTTTCCACATATAAGCAGTCAGCGTGCAACAAAGTGCTAATTTTGTAAGTGGTTGTTTAATTATTTGTTTTACTGAGTAATAATTCCATGTTAAATATTTTTCCCTTTTAAGATCATCTCCAAGTATCAAAGCCCACGTCTGTGCTGAAGGCTGAAAAAGTTTGGGGAGTCTTAAGAGGTGAGTCTCAAAGTAATAGAGGATGAAACTATTTCCTATTCACCCAGCATGTTGTTGTTGTTGTTGTTGTTATTATTATTATTATATTTAATGAAGTATAATGATTAATTATCATAATGATTATTATGATGGTCCAAGCATCACTTCGAAAAATCATCTTCCTGCATTAGCAATCATGGTTAATACTGATATAAATCTATGCCCTTATAAATGTTTACTCTGTTTTGAAAACCATCTATTGACAGTGTCAGCATAGTCTGTGGCAATGGCTTTGCAAACTGTGCATTGCATTAAAAAAAAAACATTTATCTTTCCTAAATCTATTGTAAATTAACTTTATTAGGTGACCCAAATTCCAGTTTTGCATATAGTCCCAACTCTTATATTACTTTAAACTTTTATTATATTGACTTTTCTCCCAAACAGTGAGCTGATTTTTTTTTAATATGGATCATGTTAAAAGCTGAGTATAGACTATTGTAATTCATCTGTGATGGGCTCCATACTGTAATGAATTTGGAAACATGCAAATCTAAATTAGATTTCAAAACATTAATAGCCCATCCAGTACTGGGTTGGCTTTGCTGTTACTGCAGATATTCAGAGGAAAAGATGAGACAGAAAATAAAAGTGATTTGTGCTTCTTCCTCTCTCATTTCTCAATTTTTTCAAAAGAAGGGGTCCTCTGCAAGTAAGATACAGTTTGTGCCACAAATAAGTCCCATTGAACTCTATGTCTTTCCATTTTCCCTCTTTAAAAGAAATTTAGAAATTTAGGAACAAGACCCATTGTTCATTTAAACCTCTTTGGAATATCTGAAGTGATAATTGCTTCAAAACAATATTTCTTTGCCAGTTCGGAATTAAAGTTCCATGTCTCTCTTTCGCTCTTTCCAGGTCTGGAAACTTTCAGCCAGTTATTATATGAGGATGATTGTGGAAGTGTGAGTATTCCAGATAATACATTATTTTCTTCAGGTTTGGCATTAGCACTTCCAGATGTTGGTGTTCTATGATTTGAGGTTATTTGGAGAGGTAATATTATAACATACATTTATTTATTAAGAGAAATATTTTAATACAATAAAACAATACTGCAGAATCTGCACTAGCTTCTTATGAGCTAACAGAGAACTAATAGAGTTTGCTGAAACTCTATTAACTGTTTATTAACTTATTTTTTATTTATTTATCTATAATATATCATTTCAACCTTGAGTTACAAATATTCTCCTTCATTGGTGTTTTATTTATTGCTTTTGCTCTGGTAGGACTAAACTGGGAGTCCTATATTTGGCTGGTTGTTTGGACAACTCTCCCCATTTCATAGGCAGTGACAGTTATGATGATGTTTACACTAAACAGTGTTTATATTTGAATATAACATATATATTAATTTATTAATTAGTTTGCAGGTAATAAAGAATAACCTTTCCAAACAGTAGGAAGAGCAGTAACTTTATTTATATAAATACATAATTTTTGAAGTCTATGAGTAAAATGCATTGCAATCTATTTGGTACCTTTTATATGCTAGGAAATCACGTTTAACACCTGAAGTAAATGTATCTTACCACAAAGGTCAAATTTGATTATCTGTTATATTCTTTGCATGGACATGGCTCTTTTGTTTGTTTCAACAGTATTTTGTTAATGAGTCTTACATAAGTGACTTTCCAAGATTTGCATATCGAGGAATCTTGCTTGATACATCACGACATTTCCTACCACTGAAAGTTATTCTAACTAATTTGGTAAGTGATCCAGGTATATACGTCTGAGTCAGCTTGGTATATAAAGCTATAGTTGAGAAGGCTCTAGTAGGCATTTAAAACAAATGCTTGTAGATAAATAAGATATGTGTATTAATCTCTGCATATTGCGGGTGAGTTTTTACTTTAAAATTCCATTATAGTATTTACTGTTGTTCTCACTGCCATTCCTTATTCAACTTATATCTTGCCTACCTTCCCACAGGGCATTTAGTGCAGCTTATAATTTTAGAAAAACTTAAGGACATGTAGTCTTCAATTTATGACCATTTGTTCAGTGGCCATTCAAAGTTACGACAGCACTGAATGAAGTTACAGCTGTTGCAGCACCCCTGTGATCATGTGATCAAACTTTAGGCACTTGGCAGCCCAGGTGAACCTGTGACTGGTGAACTCCTCAATTCTTCAAATCGGGCACATCTTTCCATGTATTCTGCCCCATTCTCGCAGTGCTCCAGAGAGCCTTCAGAAAGCTTCCTAGGTCTTCCCCAGGTCTTGTGGGAACATATGCATTATTTAGAGAATGGCAGATGCCCCTTTCTCATGATGCTTCAGAAAACCTCACAAATTTTCCAAAGGATCATGATAATGGGGCACATAAGTGGACTCGGGAAAAAGTCCTAGCATGGCCAACAGCTTCCTCGCTTACAGTAGGGCCAGGCTGGGTGTGCCTCACCAACAGCAGGAGGAAAGTGGTAAAGGTCAGCAGGGCATGGCAGAGCCTATGGAGTGCAGAGCGCCTGGGCTGAGACATGCTGCACTATTATGCAGGGATGGGCTGTGGTGGCTGAGGCTTCCCACAGCACGGCAGCTTTGTGGCGCTCTGCTGGGTCAGGCTGGGGCAGCTGAGACTTTCCAACTGGCGGGGCCAGTTTTTGGGCACTCGGTCTCTAAAAGGTTCGCCATCACTGTTCTATGGTATAGTTACTGAAAAAGCAAGTTCTCACAGACCAAATGAAATGGACTTGGCCAGAAGAGAAAAACATGCTTTCTTAAAGTTAGAGAAGAGGCTTCAACTTCCATGTTAAAAATGCTAATGTCACCCTTTTAGAATACTAATAATGAAGTCTAAAATTCTGGGTAACATGAACAAGATGTATCAGTAAAACCATTTTGCACATAATGGTCCTAAGGCAAAATCCAAGATCCATAGACGTGTTTTCATTCAGTGAAAGGATGACCTAGAAAACTGAAGAGTGAATGGCTATTGGATTTTAGCAAAGAAAAAAGGCCAGTGAAATGAGGCCATGGCATGAAACAGTTGGCTCCATACTGGAACGGATTTGGCAGAAGAATAAAACACAAGAAACTTCCTATGAGAAAAGGGGAATGGGGTGGGGAAATAGCAGAAGTTCTGTTCTCTTTCAATCAGAGTTCAGGATGCAGAAAGTGTTAAGTTACAGAAGGCAGGTTCTTTAGACTTTTAGGAGGAATGTCATAAAGATAAGAATCAGTAGGCCTAATTACCAAGGAAAATGGTGAGCTCCTCTTGTGTACATTTAAGTGTAATCTAGACAGCTACCTGTCAAGAATATATTAATTTAGATTTCTGCACTGAGCAGGGAGAACCTGATGGCCTAAATTACCTCTTCCCATTAACCATTTAATTGGGTCAGTTTCCATTCATGGTCCCCAAACCTGCTGACAAAACCACTTTTTAGGGCCTTATGATAAAGCAGCAGGTTGGGGGCTAACTGTACCTCAGTGGAAATTATTTTCATTAAGAAGGGACCACTACTGAGAAGACCCTTTTTCATGGTCCCACCAGATGCCAATCCCTAATCAATGGGACCCACAACATACAGACAAGAACTCATGTAGTTTTGAGGAACACATTTAAGGCCTGAATTTTACACTGTAAAGACATCTACGTAGTTAATATATGTCTATACATTTCAGCAACATGTGGAAAGCTCTGTGATAAATACCTGCTTTGGCAGCTATCTTATTTATTCATTATATTTGGGTTCTGTAACTGTGTATTGAAATAAGTTATGTAAAACTAAATATCTTGTAAACATCTATATGTCAACTCTGTTGTTCGTCCATCGATTTCGATGAAGACCTTGACATCTTATGGATTATGGGCCATCATCGGTGTGTCCGTAGATGGCTGATGAGACCGATGTTAGCACTGAATGTTCTGCCACATACTGAACAGAGAAATGTGGACACTATTGCTTCAGCATTTGCAGCTCTGGCTTTACGGAGTGCTCGCTTCTCTTGTGCCAAGATTGTCCTTCTGTGTTCATATGTCTGGCAACCCTGTCTGGGTTCATATGTCTGGCAACGAACATATGTCTGGCAACGAACCTGACTGCAGCCATTTTGCTCATTCTAGCTTGCCACAAGAATGGGAGGGTGTGTGGAGGATTTCTAGTAGTCTAAACATTTTACTGTCCCGTGTTATATGGGATGGTGGTGAACATTTGGTTAGAAATCCCACCAAACTGTTCTATTGGGGAACAGAGCTGATTGCATGGCATTGGGGTGGAAAGTTCAACTTTGTAATATTGTCTCTCTTTGAAGGGAATTTCAGACTTGGTTTCACTCTTAACCATGCCAATACTATGTAACCAATAAACATGTTCTTTGAGGAAAGCTCAAACCTCGGAGTTCTGATTTATTTGGTCTTGTCTATCGGAACCTTGATACTATAAGTATCTGTATGTAAAGCTTTTCTCCATTGAGTTCTCTCAGGGCTAGAAATAATTCAGTAGTTATAGAAGCAATCATGAGATTGTTTACATTGAGGGCATGGTAGAAATCAGATTTTAAATTCCCACATATATAAATTAATTTTTGAATATAGCACGCGTCACTAAAACATCATCTTGTCTTTCATATCACAGGATGCCATGGCCTTTAACAAGTTCAACGTCCTGCACTGGCACATTGTAGATGACCCTTCCTTTCCTTATGAAAGTACTACTTTTCCAGAATTGAGTGCCCAGGTAAGTAAGAACATATGAAATCTTGTAGAAAGTATTTAAAAAATAGAATTCAGAGACCTATTTCATACATACTTCAGATATATTAGGGCCACCATATTGACTGGGAATGATGGACCAACATATTGGACACTTTCAACCTGTAAAATCTGAAATAGTAATTCAGGGTAATGCTGCAACAGAGTAGAAGATTTGTAATTTATTGAAGGGAAATGAAATTACATTATTTTGATGCTTGACCAGCATCAAATAATATAAAACATCCTAAAACTAAGATACAGCTAAAGAATAATATAAAACCATTGCAGTCAGCACAGTTAAACTTTCTTAGTTCAGGTACACAATTTTGAATATTTGTACTATCCACTAAGCTTTCAGTGAAAAACAATAATAAAATGTAATGAGTTAACAATGGCAATTGAGATCAGCAACTCCATCACTACATGATCATTAAGCACAATGTCACTTGACCACAACAATTTACAATAGCAGTTGCAGCAATCCCAAATCCTGCATGGTGGCAGTGCCTGGCAGGTACATGATTGCCATTTGCATCCTCTTCCAACTTGCCCATTGACTTTGCTTGTCAGAAGCTGGCTGTGAAGGTCACAAATGGTGATCATGTCACCATGAGACATTTGTGATCATCATAATTGTGAGCTAGTTGTCAAGCACCTAAATCATGATCTCATGATCACAAGAATACTACAGCTACCAGGACCGATCATAAATCCCTCTCATTTAACACTGTCATAACTTTGAACTGTTGCTGAACAAGTGGTTGTTCAATGAGAATTATCTGTACAATTTTATATATTACCTTAATTCAAGCCTTGTGTTGCCAAAACTCATCTGTGTCTGAACAAGAAGAAGAATTGTTTGACTCCTAAGTAAATATGGGGGGGATCTTTTTCTCTCCCCCACTTAACCACAGATGTCTGTGTGGGGGAGAAGTGTTAAACTTGGCAAGACAGAAGATGGAGCATTCCTCACTAGAGGAACATATTAATTTGGAAGGAAAAAAAACATAGTTCACTGAATATTGCACATATTTATTGGTTCGGCATACTCATTGACTGTTTGAGAGAGAACCCGGAATGAAATGTTTGTTGAAGATATGTTTGTTGAGTGATATGTCTAATTGTTGTTGCAGTGTTCTTCTCTGTGCCCTGCTAAGACAGATATCACAAAACTCCTATAACCTACCACCTGGTTCCTTATTACAATGTGATTTTGCACTGTAGATTTTATTTGGCCTTAAGCCAACATTTAATTTCTTCTTTTTAGTAATAATGCCAAGGCAGTCAAAAGATTACTATGTAGTGTTCAGTGTTCCTATTAGCAATTAGCCGATAAGGACTTCTGGGTGACTTACAATGTCACCAAATTCTGTGAATTGGCATATGATGCTTTCTGAAGATTCAATTACTCCTATATTTATTGCTTGTCTTTCTTTTTGTATTTGTTTGCTTGTGCTTGTTTGTTGGCCTTTGGTTGTAACAGTTTGCTGGCCTTTGGTTGTAACAGTTTTTTATTTCACATGGGTTATGTCAATGACAGAGCAGCATATTTATTCCTATTGACACAATGATGTCCTATCAAGCATAAAAAAATAACACAAAGGCATCTTCTTGTCTTTTTCAATTACCAACCTCAAGTTTCACGGGCTAGATCTTCAGAGATACTGCAACCATGTTCAGCTTTTTATCCATAAAAGTCATTTGCTAGCTCCTCAATAAATGCATAGTCACTCAGAAAAATAATACATAGGAAGGCAAGATTAATTTCTCCTAGGATTTCAGAGAAGATGACCTTGGATAGGTCACTTTGTCTTAGTATTACTCCAGTTACTGATTATCAGTAAAAGGTACAAATGGTTTGTGCTTACGGTAATTTCATTCAAAAAATAACTTGTATCTGGATTATATCCTAGTGCTTCACTGTTGTAATATCATGTTGCTCCTAGATTTAACCACTCTTCTCACTTGTTGACATTTTCCTGGAGTATTGGGGGAAAAATGCAACCTCTTGTTTATTTCCACAGGGTGCTTATACTCCCAACCATGTTTATACTCCCACTGATGTTCATAATGTCATAGAATATGCTCGCTTACGAGGGATTAGAGTTATTCCAGAATTTGATATGCCAGGACATACTCAGTCTTGGAGAAAAGGTAAAATGTGTATTATTCTAAAAGGCAAACTGAAAATACTCTATGCTTACAATAGGAATCAAAAAAGAAAAAAGGAAGATTAGTAGCTAAATGCAGATACAACTTTATTATGAAATATTATTCAAATTTAATTTAAGTTGTTACATAATTCAAGTCTTGCCTGACTATAATTTAGTTGTGTTCAGATTTTAAATATCTTCTAATAAAAAGAATAGGTAGGGTTTCAACTGCTTTTATTTATCTCCTATGTTTTATTGATTTTATTGTAATTGAGATTCGGGCAGCATACAGATTTAATAAATTATGATTGCACAGTCAGCCAGATGTTTAGACTGGATTTGGCACTGCAGTATTAAGGTAGATCAGGATAGTTGACCTGTGGTCCTGGCAGGGAACCCCATTCAAGACTCTCTGATCATTTCTGAAAACTGTTAGCATGTATTGCTTCCCTGTCATTTTGAAGAAAGAACACACATAAACTGTAGCATGAGCCATTAAATAAAATTAACATAGTTTTAAAAATAAATATTCCTAATCATTCCCCCTTACCCAATAAGAACATTAAACATCCAGCCTTGTTGGTATAAGTACCTCTAGATAAATCTGTACCCTGATTTACTGTTGCCTTTGCCCTATTACAACCATCCAGCCAACAAAAGATTACCCATTCTAGAGGATTAATAAGGTACATGTTTCTGCCAATGTCAGTGATTATCATTAAGAGATTCAAAAAATGGAAACAAATTGAATTCAGGACAAAAGTACTGAATAAATAGCTAAATCATATCATGTGAATACAAAGGTTTTATGAGTCATTATTTTCTAAATCTGATACCTAGCCAGTAGTCATATTCCATTTGAAAGGATTATGTTCTGGGCCATTACAAAGAAAAACGTATTTAAGTTCTCGGAAACACTTTTAAAATCAATGTAATAAATGCAAGTTCATATAGAATAAAATAGCATACATCTTTTGTTTTATTTTTGTCTTTGTTTTATATACTGGGGAAAAGATATCCTCACACCTTGCTACAGTGGAAAACATCCAAGTGGCTCTTATGGACCTATAAACCCCATTTTGAATGCAACTTATGATTTTATGATGAAATTATTTGAAGAAGTTGGCACTGTATTTCCCGATGATTATATCCACTTAGGAGGAGATGAAGTGGACTTCAGTTGTTGGTATGGTGTAACACCAAAACTAAAAAGATATTAGCATTATACAATTAGCAAGACTTGATTAGGAAGAGATATTTTAGAAAGTCCAGTACTATAAATGCAGCATCTATCTGCATCTTATTAATGTAGCCCTGTCAATATCCAGGATTACAGAGCCGTTGAAGGAAGGCTTCAACTGCAGCCATATGATCCTAGAAAGAGGCAGTGGCTTTATTGAAGTGGAGATCTTTTCCTGAATACAGAATATTTCAAAGTATTTCTCCTAATAAAATGTACAACTTTACATTTCCAAAATATATGTGATATGGAAAGTCTACATACTCGTTGAAATGCCAGATTTTTGAGATGTAAAAAAAATCAGACCAAGATAAATAACTTCAGACTATTTTACACTTTTAGTATAACATATAAGCTATATAATTCAATTGAAAAACAAACTGGACTCTTTTGGAAAATAAAAAGAAACTTACAATAATATGATTATTGTATTGTACAGGACAATTGCTTATGCACTGAATATCCTGATCTTAAGATTCCATGCCAAAAATTTAATGGGACTTGCAAATGCTTTATTCTTACTAAACAGTGGCCCAAGCTAGCTTATTATCACAAATCAGAGAAGGCATTCTTCATATTAGCATTATCTTGTTTAGATCCCCACTCATGTGTGATTAAAAAGAAACATAAGAGTGCAAAATCTATTCTATTCTATTACTACTTTAGTACTATATTATAAGAAATGTAATTTGTTGCTATTGTTTTTCTTTCTTAGGAATTCCAATCCTGATGTAACTGAGTTCATGAAAAAGAAAGGATTTGGGTTCTGGTATTCTAAACTGGAATCCTATTATATTGAAAAGTGAGTCTGTTTCTTTTTCAGAAAGATTACTTCATGTATTTGCAACTACTTTTATTGCTTGCTTTAATCCCCTAAATCAGGGGTGTCAAACTCTCAACGTCATGTGACGTGTCGCGATGTATCGCAACTTTTTTTCTATTGCTGGCAATGGGGTGGGTGCGGTTTCGGCACTAGCTGCTTTCGGTTTTTGCTGCTAGCAAAACTTCCTAAAGGCCAGTGACAGGCTGGCTTCTTGCAGCTGAGGACTGTAGGGATTGGAATGAATGACATAACAATGTCACTAGAGTGGACATAACAATGTCACTAGAGTGTGACATTTTGAGAGCCTGAAAGGGTACCTTTTGTAACTTAGAAAAAGAGAAAAACACGCTGTTGAAAACCAGCAGTTTTCCTACCTAATATTAGCAGCATGATCTGTGATTGCCCCTTACATTATTGGCTGTGGCCTGGAACTTTATTTATTTTTTATTCTCCTTGCTTTTTTGTTGTCCATTTTCTATCCTGGAAAAGATGGAGAAGATGGGGTTGGAGTTTGCATAAGACAAAGAAGATAGAGTAGAACATTTGGCTCAGTTCTATATCTAGTGCATTTGAATTAATTAAATAATTGGGTATTTTCAGAAGTTTTGAGGCAAAATCTGCCTTATTCATTAACCCAGTATAGTTGTAGACCCTAGTTCAGTGATGGCAAACCTTTTAGAGACCGGGTGCCCAAACTGCAACCCAAAACCGACTTATGCATCGTCGGGTGCCAGGTGGGTGTGGCCCATTGGCTGGGCATGGCTGCGGTGGTAACAGCAGACTGGGTGGGACTAAAAAGTTCAATCAATCAATTCCAACTTTGCAAGATCTTTTTTTTTCCTGCAAGAAGTTGAAATTGACTGATTGATTGAACCTTTTTTTTTTTTTTTTTGCACACGGCGGCGGAGGCCTAAAGCGAAAAGGTTTTATAAAACCCAGCTGAAGGCCTAGGACTGGGGCGACGGTGCACATGCCCACAGAGAGGGCTCTGAGTGCCGCCTCTGGCACCCATGCCATAGGTTTGCCACCACTGCCCTAGTTCATAGTTTCTTCTAAAGATGCTGTGTTTTGCGATCTCAACAGTTGCTTCTTCTGACTAGAAAATTCAATAGGTAGATTAGGAGAGTTTTCAAACCAGCCATGTGCTATAGAATAGCTAAGCTCAATTCAGGTGATGCCATTTACCTCATGATTTTCCTCATATTTTATCACCACCCAAAAAAAAAATCATTTAAGAGCAGGATTGTGTAGAGGAGCATAAATATGGCCTTGGAGAAGATATGTGGAAATCATTACCAAAGAACATGAGCTCAGCCTGGGAAAACAAGACAGAAAGAAACTTAAAGTCACCCTGCCTTAACACTCTTTGGTATAAGAGAGAGGCAAGAGAAGAGAAACCATTCTCAGGTTTTCAAGTTTCCGTTCTTATAGCCTATTTCAGCAAATTGAGTTCTAGTAGTTCTTGGAGTGTTTGCTTCCTGGCCTGGTATAACTTGAAGAGCTGACAGATTGGAATAGTTACACAAATGGTTTGTCTTTGGTTTGTTTTAAAAGATGATAAAAGGAAAGTGTGCTATTGAAACAAATAGAAGTCATCTGAAATAATGAATGGTTTTTTTTATATCACTCATTCTTGCCATATCCTTTCTTGGTTTTGGCTTTTTAAAATACACCCTTTTTCTAACAAAATTGAATTTTTAAACATGCTTTTTACTTTGGAACTGGGAGAGGAGTACTGAGGTTTTCTTTTGAAATAGGAGACTCAATCAACAGCACATACTGTCCTTTAGAATTAAATGTTCCTGAATGAAAGTGGATGGGAAGAAAAGGTTACACTCACACCAACTTATCCACAATTGACCCAGTTCATCTCAGATTTCATGCTCTTTTTTTGGCAGTTAAAAACAATGAAAGTTTCATATGATTAATTTGAGAGGGAAAATCAAACAGGCAAGTTTTCTACCATAAACATGAAACTATCTAGGAGAGATTACAAACTTGACTAGGTATCAGAAAAAAATGTATTTCCAATCAATGTAACTTAAATTAAAGTTTAAAAGTAAGCTTTGTTGCAACAATCTCATCTTCCATTTCAGGCACCTAAAACATAATAGTTAAAATTACATCTAGAATAGTGGAAAACTAGATTAGTTAAAGTAACCATTGGAAGCACATGGCATTTGTTCTGAGAGCATATAATTTTAAAGGGGAAGCCATTGGGACTTTGGGGCAGTAGGTTTGAAACTGAAGCAGAAAAAAAAGAAGGAAGGAAGGAACAATGTCTGCTTTAAAATGATGGAGCAGAGAGGGGATATCTCTTTCAACTCAGTTTATTTTTTCGCTGTGAGGATAAAACATAATGAGATGCACATATTTAAAACATGTTAAGTAGCAAATCAAGCTCAGTTCCTAGTAACGTTCACATTCATATCTTTTTTTTGACAATGATGGAAAAGTAACCTTCTTGCCATTGCCTTCTTCTATTTTTTTTTCAAATTCCCAGAGTTGGATTACTAAAGATCTGGCATACAAGTAATTCCCTCCCAAATAATACAGTAATTCAAACACTATTTAACTCTATGAAAAACAGCCAAGATTAGCTAACTGTCGCCACATTGCCAAATATATTTATTAAAAAAAAATCTTCTGTTCAGACATGTTTGATTCTCAGACACTGCCTAGATAAGTCCCTGCAGGTTTTTTTTAGCAAGGTTTTTCAGACGTGGTTTGCCATTACCTCCTTCCTAGGGCTGAGAGAAAGGGATTGTCCCAAGATCACTGAGCTGACTTTGTGCCCAAAGTGGGACTAGAACTCATGCCACTAGGTTTCTAGCCTAGTGCCTTAAACACTACACCACACCAGCTGCTTCTTAAAATATAAAATCTTAATATAATATGTCAATTTCATTCAAAATTTGCAGCAGAAAAGCAGTACTTTTTAGCACTTAATAATCTTTTACCAGGAAGAGCCCTCAATAAAACCTAAATGAGAAAAGGTCACTTTGTCATACTCAGAAGGATATAGCAACATTAAAACAACCACACAGGAATAGTGTTTATTTGCAAATATACCAGACTATACTTCATTTTCTTTTAGCTCATAATCTAAATCCCATCTTGGTTATTACCTTAAGTTAAGTGTCCATAAATATTTGAAAAGTTCAAAAGTAATTTTACAGGCTATATTTATATCCAGTTATTGTAAGTTGCTGGATGGTCGGTTCTTGGCTGAATTTGCTGTTTGAGAGGGGAACATACAATTGAATGTGTGTCAAATACATGAGTGTTCTGTTTTGCACCTAGAATGCTGGACATAGTGACTTTTCTTAACAAGAAATCCATAATCTGGCAGGAAGTATTTGATGATGGAGCAAAGGTAAGGTCTGAGAAATTGTGTGAACTGTTCCATCATAATTTTGAGAGTAGTTCTCATCTGCAGAAATATATCAGAAAATGTCTGTAGAACTGACTATCTTTTTTATTCATTTATAAAATCAAGAAAAGTTTTAACAAGTATAAACGTGAGTAAGAACAGGGCAGTTGCTGCTTCTGTCCAAGGTTCAGAAAAACCAGCCTTCAAAATATTATAATCCAGACTTTTCTCATCTAGTATCCTCCAAATGCATTAGGACTACAATTCCTGAATTATTGAATAGCCATTCTGGACATCATAGTGCATATCATAATGATGAAGACTGCAACTTAACATTTATGTAAGGTTCAAAGGAACTAAAATAGAAACCACAGAGAACAAAGGCAGACTGAATAATTTCCAGCCACTTGTCAAGTCTTGAATGGGGAGGCTAGTCAGGATTTCAAAGGAGGCAGAGGGTAGGTGAACAGAGCAAAGTGAGCCAGAAAAGAACTAGTTGAAGCATGGGCATGAGCCATACAGAAAGGAAAGCTTTCTGTACTTCTGCCTCCGAAAATATATTTCAGGAGCTCAGAGGTTTGTTAGGAGGGTTGCAAGATTAGATGCATATCTGCATAGGCTGCAGGAAGCTGCAAGGATGGCCTTTTCTTTGTACATCTCTGCCAAGTAGATAATCCATAACCCCAGGTCTACATGTAACTTTGCAGTATGATCTCACTCCAGAAATGAAGTATGAAGTATGACCTGAAAGAAGGTGCATGCTTTTTTTACAGAGTGGGATCCAGCTAAAACACAGATAAGAATATAATCCACAGCCTCTTGCCCTAAGGTCTTTCTATATCTTTCCTTGTTTTAACTCCCAGGCCATTTATTTTTTCTGATGTCCTCTTTGTTCTCTCATTTTTTTTCTCTTTCTGTATTTTTGGTTCCCACATCCTCTCTTTCTTGGTTGGCTCTCCTCATTTTCTGTTTTTGTTGTTGCTTCTCTTCTAGTCTTGATGGTGCTATAGTTTGAACAAGCAGATTGCTTTGCAGTTAAAGAGTTCTGAACTTTATTGATTTAGTCTAGGCACTTCATAATTTAAACAGAATCACACTTAGTGTGCAATAATTGCACAGTACATCCAGACTTTAATGCTCTTGCCCTCCTGTTCAATATCTATATGAAATTGTTCAGTGAGTTCACCATTGGTTTGGGGCCTGGTTTCAGTACTTCAAGTTCAATTGTACATCTGGACCCCAGACTGCCCAAGTGATGCTCTCAGTGCCCTGATCCAATATATGGATGTTGTTCAGGTCTGGATAGGGAGATACAAACTCAGGCTTAGTCTTACCAAGATTCAGTGATTGTGGCTATTCTGGCTGAATTTGGATTTTTCATGTTTGGTCTTTGATGGGACAGTACTTTCCTAAGTGCACCTTGGGGTCCTTGGTGAATTCTGGGAATTGAAGTCCACAAGTCTTAATGTTGCCAAGGTTGGAGACCCAATTTAAAAGACCAAAAATTGATAATAAGCTGAAAAAAATATTCTGAGGAGCAAGCAGAGAGCTAGAAAAGTAAAAGAAACTCCCTTTGGGGCGGGGGGAACTTTTTACAGAATGTTGAAACTACTGTATTTATAAAATATTGCCTTTGGTTTTTTTCAGAACTTTGTAGTCTTTCCCCATTACTTCATAGTAATTGCCTCACTAGTACCTGATTCAATGAAACCCTTTGCTCCTTATTTGCCTAAGTTTATAAATAGGGAGTGTAACACTCCTCTTTAGCCCTACAGTCCTCCATAAACCAGTTTGTGCTTCATTGTAAACATGTCCTGGTTTCAGCTCAAAAATATCCCTTGGAAAATTTCTGTCTTTCAACATCCTTTCTGTATGACAGGTATTTTTGAATGTTAGAAAATGATATAGAGCAGGTAAGATTGGTGTGATATGGGACATAAAGATAGCCCCTATCTTTGGCTGTTTTGATGTGATATTTTTCTGCATGTATTTAGAAAAGTTCAGAAAGGCAAACCATCACAGCATAGTAGTTAGACTGACAGATTCAGACTGATAAGACCTACATTGAGATCCCTCTTGCAAACTCATTGGACAACTCTGAGCTAGTCATTCTTTCAGCCCAACATACTTCTCATATATAAAAAATATTGTAAAATAAAATTAAGGGGTAATTGTCATGGGTTCTGGGGGAAAAAATGGACTACAAATACAGTAGGCTGTCCTGAATTTTTAGAATTGCTCAAACACCATGCCATGCTGGAATAAATCATATGCATGCTGTTCCAAAAACAAAAAACAACCCCCCCTATAATTTTCTGTATTTTCAGCTGCAGCCAGACACAATAGTTGAAGTGTGGAAGAAATTTTTGTATCAACTTGAATTAGCAAGAGTAACAAAACAAGGGCATCAGGCAATCCTTGCTGCACCTTGGTACCTAGACCTCATCAGTTATGGCGAGGACTGGAAGAACTACTACAGTGTTGAACCACTGGACTTTACTGGTTTGTCAATATCTTGTATTTGGGTTTTTTTCTATGGGGGTTGAGCATTTTTAATACCTTTGGATTCCAGTGCATGAGTGGCATATTCCCATTTAAATAAACTAGTGCTCAAATTCATGTATTTTCTTATGATAGATTACAGGAAAATTTCCTTTTTCATAGTTTGTGTGAAGATTATAATTTTTGTAGCCTAAGAAAAAATACTGTGTACAGGTAGTCCTTGACTTATGACCATAACTGAGCCCAAAATTTCTGTTGCTAAATGAGATAATTAAGTGAATTTTATGACCTTTCTTGCCACAGTTAAGTGAATCACTGCAGTTGTTAAGTTAGTAACATGGTTGTTAAGTGAATCTGGCTTCCCCATTGACTTTGCTTGTCAGAAGGTCACCAAAGGGGATCATATGTCCCTGGGACATGCAACCGTCATAAATATTAATCAGTTGCCAAGCATCCAAATTATGATCTTGTGAACATGGGGATGCTGCAATGCTTGTAAGTATGAAAAACGGTCATAAGTCACTTTTTTCAGTGACGTAACTTGGAACAGTCACTGTTGTAAGTTGAAGACTACCTGTATACGAACCCATCAAATTCCATGGTTTGTGTAATCATACTCTTCAGTTTAAATAATTACCAACACTGGTTTAATTTACCTTAAGATTGCCTTTTAAATACTCTTTTCAATGGCAAATAAGAAATGAACAAATGCTTTTTTTTATCCCTTTAAACACAGGAAGCAAATCACAGAAGGAGCTGGTGCTGGGTGGAGAGGCTTGTCTTTGGGGAGAATATGTGGATGCAACTAATCTTGCACCAAGACTCTGGTAGACCTCATTACTTACCTGGCTTGCTTCTCCTTCCATAAATTTAAGCATCTAATCTTTTTGTTTCTGCTTTAAATGGTGATTAAAAATGTGTGTATGCTTTCCTTGCATCAGAGGATTGCAAATCTCTATTTTCCAATGGTTTCTTCTCCTCCTCATTAATATACAACTTACAACCATTCATTTATCGACCATTCAAAGTTACAATTGCACTGAAAGAAGTTTGAACCTAGCTTCTCCGTTGACTTTGCTTGTCAGGTCATAAAGGGGACAACATAACCTCGTAATAAATATGAACCAGTTGCCAAGCATCTAAATTTTGGTCATGTGAACATGGGGATGTTGCAATGGTCATAAGCATGAAAAACGGTCACAAGTCACTTATTTCAGTGACATAACTTTGAACAGTCACTAAAGGAACTGGTTGAACTTAAAAGCTGTCCTCACAGTTACTACTCTTGTAGTATCCCCACGGACATGTGTTCAGAATTCAGCTGCTTGGCAACCAACATGTACTTATGACAGTTGCAGCATAATTCCAAGCCATGGGCAAGTGCTGTTGGGAGTTTGGAGCAATGAAAATGTATCCCGTTTCAGATGCTTATAAAAAACTTTCTCAACATCATTGCCACATGTGATCACATTTGCAAGTTTCCAACAGGCAAAGTCAATAGGGCAGGGGTAGGCAACCTTGGCTCTTTTATGACTTGTGGACTTCAACTCCCAGAATTCCTGAGCCGGCTCAGGAATTCTGGGAGTTGAAGTCCACAAGTCATAAAAGAGCCAAGGTTGCCTACCCCTGCAATAGAGGAAACCAACTCACTCAAAGATTGTGTGACTCTTTTAACAACTGCAGTGATTCTCTTAACTGTGGCAAAAAAGACATCAACCATACTTGCTCTGTTTTGGAATGAATCTTAACTTCCAGACTTGGATCCTCACACTGCAGACAAAAAAGATCGTAATAACTGTCTTGTTTAGCAACATAAATTCTGGTCATAAGTCAAGGATTACCTGTATTTGCCCTTACAGGAAGCACTAATGAGCTCAATATAAGAAACTGCCTTTACAGATGGGAGACATTTACAGAATCAGAGGCAAATATGCATAACTTCTTTTATATAAAAAGGCATATAGTTATGGGCAGTTTATGCATTGCATGCTGAATCTAGTATTCTCCAACATCATCCAGATTCCAGAATATTCAGCCAGCTTCACAGTACCATTCTTATCATTGGGGAATATTTAAGTCCAATTTGATTTAAATGTTAGGTTTTCTATGTTTGCGCACTCGTAATACAATATATGCAGAACCTAAAACTTTTTTTCTACCAATGCATACTTTCCTAATTTAAATCTGACTTGTATAAAAGGCATGTTTAAGGCACATTTCAATTCATACGCAGAAATATCCATGTTAGTCTGACTATATTCTGAAAGTAACATTGAACCCATAAGCCAGAATGACGTTTTTGCTGAAATCCTGTAATTCAGTATGGCTAAACAAAAAGTACATGTTCCATTTTGAGAACGAGTGGGTAAAAGCTTTTTAATGCTGCAGGTACAGTCCTATTATTTTTAAATAAATACTAACCATTTGATTTTAAAAAAATATTTAAATAAAATTGCATTGGCCTTATAATTGCAGGCCACGGGCAAGTGCTGTTGGTGAGAGACTTTGGAGCAGTGAAAATGTAACCGATATTTCAGATGCTTCTAAAAGACTTACTCAACATCGTTGTCGCATGCTTAGGTAAGATACAGATATTCTAAGATTTTATAGTTTAATAGTAGAGTGTCATCAAAGCTCCTTGTAAATTTCTTGTTTCTCTTTTGTTACTAAATGAGTGTACTGAAGCAGTCTCTCTTCTTTATATGAGCTTTATATGAGCAAAAAGATTTTAGCATAACGTAGGTAGCTTGAAGGCCGGATATGGCTGTATAAATCTTCACAAGATTTGCAAGGATATGGGAACGTATAAATGCACATGAAATAATCATGTCATTTACATTTAATTGTTACATTATGTTAAATTTAATTCAGCCAAATTCAGGATTTGCTATGGCCCCACACATGCCTTTGGCTTAAATATCTTTTAAATGCCAGGTTCAAATAGATAGGTGTAATTTGATATTTACATTTTCCTGAGAAAATAATCTATGGAGCTTTAAATGCATATTTTCATTCTTTGCATTAGTCAGATTTGTGGAAGTACAAGAGTATAATTAAATGAGCGGATAAATTTCACAACTTCACAACATATATGTAAGATTAATATTCTCCCACTATATAGGAAAATGGCATAAGTAAGCTATCTTTCACCAAGTTTCTAATTTGTTTGTATTTTACAGCCATATTTTATATTTTGTATTAATTGAGGTATGCTACTTCAAGTGTTTAAGCAGAAAGGCAGGATAAAAACTGAATTATATTTTTCTGACCTTGTATTTTTTTTCTTAATGCTGGAAAAATTTATTTTATTTTAATCCTGAGTTGAAGAATTTGTCCAATATTTCATGGTTTTTAACTTAATAATGCAAGCACACATATGCACTTCTTTTTAACTTGTCCTTCCACAGCTAATTTCCCTTTTTTTAAACAAAAAAGTAATATTGGACCCTGCCATGAAATTGAAGTTATGTAAACGATAAAAGACTTTTTTTTTAATGTTAAAAAACAGATTTTAGTCTGGGAACAATCTCTAATTGCTTTCTTAGTTCTTTAAATGGTTGTACAAGAACATAAACTCCCCTTTTACAGGACTTTATTGGCCAGATTAATCCTCAGAAACCCCTTTTCTCTTCTCCACAGGCGTGGAATTGCAGCACAGCCTTTGTTTGTTGGATACTGCAATCATGATTTCCTCTGATCAGGGATCGTAGCCAAAGTGCCTATACTTTATTTTAATGTGACACATATGTATCAGTGTGAATTATATAGGAAAAGAGAGATGTACAACAGCAAAACTCTACAAATCCTACTACATAACTCCTTGGACCAGAAATATACTAGTGCATATTTTGTATATAACAAAATAACAGTTAGGGAAAAGGCAATTGTAGTTCTTGAGTGGAATAACTGATTGTAGTCACAAAACATCAATTTTTCTGAAGATAAATTATAATTTATATGTTATAATTTCTACTGACGTATAAATAGGCTGCTGCAGCAGCAATATATACTTTGATCATTCTAAGTCCAACATAAACTGCTTCCTAACAAAGGATTAAAACAAGTCCGTGGCCCTCCATGACATCATGCCAAACCAGTCCTTTTATTAAGCAAAGCATTTTGCTCATGCAGGCTCATTGGGCGGTAGTTTGCCAATTCCAGCGTAAATGTAGCAGTCCCAGATGTCAAAGAACGTAAAACTGTTGAATAGCCCTGGAAAAAGATGAAACTATTTCAAAGACAGAAGAATAAATTTTACATACAATTGAAATACTTTTTTATTGCTAGAAAAGCTGTGATTCAATAACAGTATATTTTGTATGCAATTTCAAGTTTAAATTTGTTTAATTGTGAGGCTACAATTTTTTTCCATAAAATGCTCCTGCGATTGAAATTGATATGAAATGAGGCTGTTTTATATACTAAGGGGTGTGTGATTTAATTATATTTTCTTGGAGATTTTATCAGACTCAAAATTGTTAGCCTACTAGAGAGAAGACAGTGGTGACTGAACTATTTGATATGAAAGCATAGAAGACGGGCCAGATGGTATAATGCTCTAGTACGTTAGCTATACAGCCCAAGATGGATACCTGTCTAGATCTGAGACAAACTCATTAAAAAAAACCTGCTGACATTTATCTTTCCATTCAGGAATCACTATAAAGTAGAACTGCTCTTTTTAACATTAAACTTTACTGTAGAGAAGCTTCTACCAGCTCCTCAAAATGTTCAGATAATAAATACATGGAATAAGCTTGAAACTTCATTTCTATAAAGGAGTTAAATAAAAAGCTTGCTTTGAAGCTGAAATGGCCTGACCTGTGGTGGTTTCTTAAGACTGGAATGATGATGCTCAAAACAGCCAAGTTCTGTTTTAAGGCTGGAGCAAAAGAGAGTGCTTTGTTCTGACTTTGGGACCTAGCATTTACTATTTCAAAATAAAAATATTCTTATTTATTTACTTGGTAAATTTATATATCAGAATGCATGACCACCACATACCTCGCCAGTTGCTCTATGGTGAAATGAAAATGGGAAAGAGACCTTGAGATCATCTACACAAGCACTACAAATAGGCTGCAAAGGGAATACCGCTGTATTTATGCAACTGTGACATCCAGCCAAGGAAACTAGAGGCTGTGGTGCTGCCAGAATCTGCTGGCAAGCCCTGTGCTACAAAGTCTACACTAGTTTTGAAGATAGGCACTGCCAAAAACTTAAGAAAAACAGTGAATGGCATCACAGATCAATACTGACAGATACTGTAACAATAAACTTCCAATACCCCCATTGTGCTAGACTCTGCATTTCTAGACTGGGTCTGCAGAGCCCCCTCCATGTTCACAGATGAACTGCACAACAATATGTATTCTTTGAACCCCAAATGATATCTAATTATATAGCCGCTCGTTTCATGTATCTCTGAGCGGCATACATAGTTAAAAAAAAGAATACAGCAAAATAACCAAAAACAACAAAGATCATTAAAAACATTAAAAATATGTGGGACAGGTAAATGTAATTGGGAAAGACGGTCCCTCAAATAATCTAGCCCCATGCTATGTAGGGCTTTATGAAACTTTACTAACACTTTAAACTGAATCCAGAAGCAAACTGGTAACCTATGCAACTCACGGAGCAGAAATGTTAACAGGTCCTAATCTAGTTGTGCAAGTAACTCCCTACACCACCACATTTTGTACCAGCTGAAGTTTCTGGATGCTCTTCAAGGGCAGTCCCAGACACACTGTGTTACAGTAATCCATACAGGAGGTGGTCAGGATAATTGAGTAATTGAGCATAAGGCCTTCTGATCTAGGAACAGGTGCAACTGGCACACAACCCAAAGTTGTGCAAAGACCCTCCAAGCCATGACCACCACCTGCTCATCGAGCAGCAGTCATGACCCCCTAGAAAGACCCCCAGACTGCACACCAGGTCAGTCTGGGGCAGCGCCAGCCTATCCAGAACTAAAGGTAGTAAATTCACAGATCCAGTAACCCCCAACCCAAAGCCACTCAGTCTTGCCCTGGTTGAGCGGAGCTGAAGCCTCTTGTCATCATCCAAACCCCCACAGCCTCCAGGCACCAAGACATGTTGCCATCTGTACTCAGTTTTTCAGGTTTGTTGTAAAGCAGAGGTCCCCAACCTTTAGGGCACCAGGGACCAGTTCTATGGAGAGAGGTTTTTTTCGCAGACTGGAGGGGACGTGGTTTTGCGTGCATCCTGCAGATGGGGCTTTGCTTGTTTGCACGGACTGGTTTCTGGCATGCCGTGAACCAGTGCCGGTCCACAGACCAGAGGTTGGGGACCCCTGCTGTAAACTACAGGTAGTCCTCAACTTACAACAGTTCATTTAGTGACTGTTCAAAGTTACAGTGGCACTGAAAGAAGTGACTTATGACAGTTTTTCACACAATCATTGCAACATCCTCATGATCAAAATTCAGATGCTTGGCAACTGGTTCATATTTATGACCATTGCAGTGCCCCAGGGTCATGTGATGATCACCTTTTGTAACCTTCTGAAGCCAGATTCACTTTACAACTGTGTTACTAACTTAAGAACTGCAATGATTCACTTAACAACTATGGCAAGAAAGGTCATAAAATGAAGCAAACTCACTCAACAACCTAAGTTTTGGGATCAATTGTGAATACTGGGGAGTACAGGGGAGTACAGGTAGTCAAGGACCACCTGTAATCCCCAATATTCACAATCCACAACATGTAACTTTAGTTTCCTGCCAATTTCACACATACCATCATTTCTGCTAGGGGGACAGCTGCAATCACAACTTGGTTATCAAGGCGACCTTGAATGTCTTCTATGTTGCCTCTCCTCTGTGCAAGATCAGCAAGTACTACACCAACATAGTTTCCAGGCACAGTCACTTCCAAGTTCATGACAGGCTCCAGGACTTGTTTATCAGCATTTTTTAAAGCCTAAGAAATAAAATTACAATTTTCTTAAGACAAATTTTCAATCCAACATCAATCTGTTTAATGCTGTACTAATCTGCATCAGAAAATCAGCCTGAAATGAAGGCTATACAGAAAATAATATTTCATATAAACAAATTATGAACAATAACGGAAGTAAAAACATTATTAATGAAATGCCATTTTCTAAAAGAAGTATTCCCAATGCAGCTTACAAAATATTTTAATTTAAAACAGCAACTTAAAAAGGGAAAACATGCATCATCATCATGATCCCAGTCTCACCATTTCTGAATGTAGGAAAATAAATATCATCAACAGCTTTGTTATGATGCCAATTCAAAGAGAACTACAGAAGGTCAAAAAATTTACTACTTGGTCTGGATAAGATTATTTGATTCATACCTTTTGCAGGCAACGAGAAGCACATGCAGAAACCATAGTTAGTGATGTATCAGCATTTGTAGCTACTGACCGGACAGTGACTGCTACATCTTGAACTGGGTATCCCATAAGTGGTCCTACAACATGAAATATCAATAACGCATTAAAATTTTACATTGAATCAACCATGCAGATGACAATTTAACCTGTTCAGATGGCGTCATCACGTTTCTTTTCAAAGACATTTTGCAGACTGCAGACTAAACACCTCACGCCCACCTTACTAATACAAAAAGAGAAAAGCTGCAACTATTCTCTCTAGCAGTTTCGTTCATTTGCATCTTCGGTTAAAAAAGGGAACGGAGGACAGATGGAAATTTCTGCTTGACAGCCTTGCTCTTTGTAGGCACACACTTAACAACAACAAAATCTCAATTTCTTCAAACAATTCAAATATAGTACCTTCAAAACATTTGCTGAAATAACTCTTACCTTGAAGGTAGGAGGTTGAAATTCCATTTTCTATAGCTTCACGAAGGTCAGGGTGAAGTAAGTCACTGATACTTTCAGCATACTCAATGACTGGTGCTATTGCTGGCATCTCTCCCTCCCATGGCTTAATTCTCAACTCAACCGTCACTTGATGTCGCTTTTCTCCTATTGTTCTGTCCAGTGTATCTGTAATAAAATCAAGTAATATATCGAACACAAAGTTCAAATAATCAATTTAGCACAATATTAGTTAGCCATCAGTTTTAAGTCCTTCATTTGCAGGTCTGTGACATTTAATGTACCTGCAGCTTCAACTGAGTTTTGGATTGTTTCTCGATAAGCAACCTGAAGAGGTCCAAGGTAAGTCTCCAGTTTGTATTCGCGTTTGATTCGGTCATGAATGATGTCAATGTGTAGTTCTCCCATGCCACAAAGAATTGTCTAGCAAAAATATTTATAAAAATAGTATCATCAAAGCCTGGAGCATGCTGTTCATTTTTCAAAGTGATTTTAAAGCCAGGCAGACAAGAGAGGAGTGTAATACAGACAGTAAAATGCTTTGGCAGTGATTTTGAGCAAAACAGTCTCTATCCATTTTTCAAAGGTCCCTTTCTTTCATAGCAAATTTGCTGGGAATAATTACAGCTGCAATGGTAAGGCAAGCTGGGAACCTCCTTCTTCCAATCCAGTTGCATATGCCAATATGGATATCAGCATAAAGATGAACAATGAATCATAAATGTTAGAATAGGCAGGCAAACTGCAGCTATAGTTGAAACTTTTGCTCCTTCCAAAGGCTACAGGAAATGTAAATGTTACGTGATGATGTCACTAGAGGCCCTAGGCTCTATTTTGGAATGATGGTGGGTGGGATATAAAACAGATGCAGAAGAAGAGCAGAAAGTGATCATACTGGTTTGTTCAATCAATCAATCAATCAATCAATCAATCAATCAATCACACTTCTACACTGTCCATCTCACCTAAGCGACTCTGGGCAGTTTACAATAAAAAAGATGCTTTGTATTTAGCAAAACTTTCCAAAAGTTATTCCATTGATTTCAGCAGTGTCATTTGAAAGGAAGGAGGACCATAAAAAAGGAGAGGGGGGGCCTACATGGGCCTCATCGTTCATCATCTTAGAGCACCAAAGTTTAATAATAATAATAATAATAATAATAATAATAATAATAATAATAATAATAATAATAATAATAAAAAAAAAAACATTGTGAACCTTACCTGTCCCGTATTAGCATCGATCTTAACTTTCAGACTTGGATCCTCACGCTGCAGACAAATCAATGCTTGATCCAGATCTGGAACAAATAATTGATTAAAATAGGTACAGAGAACACAACTGTGGTCCTCTTCTTCTTCTGTACTACAGTTGCCCAGGGACTCAACAAGAGTCACTGGTGGGGAATCCTGGCATGCAGTTCTACAGTGCTGTAGTGAAATTGACTCTTGTACCCTCGCGGAGAATAATAGCAGTAAGAAGAGACAGCTCTCAAGAAAAGATGTGATATTACCAATAAGTTATTCAACTCTTCCAAAGTTAATGTAGCAGCATACTAGACTAGGGTTTCCTTGCCAAACCAATAATTAATAATCTTAATTCTATTCTTTTAAAATAATTCTGATTTCCAAACTGCAGGCCAAATCTTCATGGAAGGAAAGACAATGTTTCAAAATTTAGGAGACTGAAAAGCAGGTCAGGGAGAAAAAGCTACATTAGGTTTATATCTTCCATTGATTTTCTCTCTTTCTTCTCTTTTTAAAGACCATAAAGCTGTTCTGTCAATCATCACTTATAAAACAGTGTGTGAGATATTTTGTTTCTCCTTGCCCCCTTTTCTTGTTCATCAGTAAAAAATAAGGGACTCTTACACTTCTGATCTTCAAAAGCTGCAAAAGCAAATCTCCCTAGTTCCAAAAAGTCTTTCGACCAGCATAGACAGTTGCTGACTATGATCACTTCAGGTGTGCAATGCGAGTACAGTGACCTTTGAATATTTACCCTAAAATCTGAATTAATGACTTTACCTTCTCTACTAGAGAACTATAAGAGGATTGCATACACTCTCAAATCATCTAATAACTGGAGGCATGGTCTAGATAAGAATACCGTTCATCTGTAATATATTTTTGTGCCCTACTAATAAACAACACAGAATCCCATTTCTTTAGGGCCATGCACAGATTACATAGCATAGCTCTCATATTTCAGAATCTGAGTTGCACCTGGTTGTTTGGCCATGGAAGGTGGCTCTATTGCACAAAAGAAGACTGGCTCTGGAACCTCAATGCCAGCTAACAGGAGGTTCTGTACTTCTTTAGCTTGACCATGCGCCGATGCCACATTTCTTCCAGCTCGACGTGCTGCAGCCACTGCAGACGCTTTTGAAGAAACGACAGTGTCACCAGTGGCGCTCTAATGCAAACCAAACAACAAGGCAGAATGAATTGCCAGCACGCAACTGGTGTTCCTCATTAAAAAGCACTCAATGTTAACTGGCTATCCAACATTGTTTTTTCCCAGCTAAAAGACAAGGCCATCTAATCCTTTGTTTTGCACTGCCAGCAGCTATTAATTACTTTTGGGGACAATAAAAGCACTTTTTTAAAAATGGAAGAAAACTTTTGTGAAGATTTCCACATTATTATTTCACTCTAGAACAGTGATGGCAAACCTTTTAGAGACCGAGTGCCCAAAAACCGCCCCCCCCACCCGTGTCCCACTCCGCCGTGCCCGCTGGGCCACCCACCATCTCCACGGCCCGCCACAGATCACCCAGGCAGCCCAGCACCGCCATCGCGGCCACGCCCTCCGCCCGTGCCCTGCAGCATCATCTGCGCAGGATGGGGCGCAAGGGTGGAGTCTTGTCCCCGCTGCCTGGCTACCATGTCCTTGGCTGCGCTGCTTCACGGTGGGCCGTGCCCGGGGGCGACTCTCCTCTGGGGGGCTACTGGTGAGGAGGGGGCTGTGGGAGGAGACGGGGCTGGGGCGATGGTGCGTGTGCCCACAGAGAGGGCTCCAAGTGCCGCCTCTGGCACGCGTGCCATAGGTTCGCCATCACTACTCTAGAAAAATGTCAAATGCTATTCCATGTATTAGACATTTTCCATAGCCTCAAAGCTCATATGCCATTAAATGCCTATGGCTGAAAATTTGGGAGCTACAGTCTCTATACATTTGAAGGACACCACATTCAGGAAATTTTTGAGTAGACTAGTTTGCAAGTTTACTCATTAAATCAGCAACATGGTTTTGATTCCATAAACTAATCCTGAGGTAGCTTTTTCTTTTTGACAAAATACAAAGTTTGAAAGATCACAGGAGGTTGGTTTTTTTTTTACCTGTTTCAATCCCACAGTCAGGGCAATGTTGCCAGCGGATAGAGAAGAGATTTCTATTTGCTGATCAGCAAAAGGCAGGAGCAGGCGACTCATTCTCTCCCTGCAATGGTTGGCTCTGGTTAGGCTTCAGTCCCTCAGAGAGACCCACTTATTTAAGCTCATTTGCCTTTTCTCACCACCGACCCATTTTTTTTAACTCACGTGCAATTTTTGTTAATATTATAAACGGCTGATTGAGGCTTCATTGTGCCAGAGTAAATGCGCAAAAAAACCAATGGCCCACGCTGTTTGTCATGAAGAACTTTAAATGCCAGAGCACATAGATCGTCTTTATACCATGGCCTGGAAAATAAATAAAATCAAATAAGTCAATAAATAAACCAGCCAGCCCACTTATTCATCCTAGGAATCATGACATGAAAAAAAATTTAGCATTTAGCAACAGATCCATTCACTGAAAGCACCATAATTACTGATAATTGAGGGGTTTTACTGGAATTGAAGACATATTATTTGTATTTCCTTAATCACCCTGAAATACTAAGTGGAGGGAGGGCTTAAAGACATGATTTATCTTGCTGTAGATCAGGCTTCCTGGAATCCTTAGCTGTGTGCTGCCTCTAACAGAATAACAATACACTGTGTTTGTAGCATATCTTCCATATTCCCGATTCTCCAAAATTCAGTTTACTTGCCCATTCAATTAAAATATTAAATTTCTTTGCCATACTAATTTTGCTTATTTTTGATCAAATGAAATTACGTCTTCATACTCACAAGAAATCATAGCTGCGTTCATCTGGTGCAGGCAAATACTTGACAATCGCATCCAACAAGGGCTGAACACCCTTATTTTTCAACGCACTTCCGCAAAACACAGGCACTGCTTTTTGAGCCAGGGTTACTCTTCGTATTGCAGCCTGCAGCTACAGAAAATACACAAAAAAAGAGATTTTTTTTAAACAAATGCATACTTATAATTCAACACAATATGAAAAGCATATGGCTGGCTACACTGATTGACTGGAAAAATTAACAACAAATCAAAGTAGGTGCAATTGCAGGTGGGTATCTGCCTATTCCACAACAACTAATTGGTTGTTGCTTGGCATTATTGTTTGTTATTATTTCAATTTATATCTGTTATGTTCATGGGCACTCAAAACAGTTTGATATAATTATATGGTATTTATTAGAGTCCCTGAACACTTCTCCTAGACTAATTTCTTCTCAAGCTCTCAGCTGGATTGTAGTATCAGCTGCTAGGAAATGAATGGCTCAGTTTGCTAGCCACTGAGACAACAGGAACAAATCTGAGCAAAAACCAGCAGCACAATGCAGTCCTCTCTTCTCTGGTGGGTTGTTTGTTATATAAGAGGTGGAGATGACAATTTAAAAGCGACTCTGATCATTTTTACACAAGTCAGCAACAACATTACAAAACTGGCTTCTTTATTCAGAGATATTCTGAACTAACTTGGTTGGAAAGTGACATTAAACTCACAATTATCCTCTTCCACATTCAGCTATATGGAGTCACTGCACCTCTCCTTGCAAATCTCCCCCTTGTGCATGAAGAAGCAAACCATCCATCAGTTCATGAAATGTGAAAAATAACCCAGGAGGATAACAGCTAATACATTTTACAATGAAGGCCACCACAAAATTATTCAAGTTGAAGGAAAAAAAAACCTTTTTATGAATTCAACTAGAATTGCTGTATATTTAATGTCACACACACTTTACACTAGAGCAGTGGTTCTCAACCTGTGGGTCGGGACCCCATTTGGGGTCGATCGACCATTTCACGGGGGTCGCCAAGCAAAGCTGTCCGCCACTTTTTTTGTCCGCCATTTTTTCCCCCTTTTCCGGCGGGTGCCTTACCTCCCTTGGGCTGGGCCAGCTGGTGGTCGGCCTGCTCCGTCTCTGCCGCTTGCCAGCTACGCCTCGGCCAGCGCAGGGGGCGGAACCACGCATGCACGGCGCTCCCGGGCAGGGAAAGTCCTCGACTTACGACCGGTTGGGTAGTCCTCGACTTATGACCGGTTTAGTCCTCGACTTACAACCGGTTTAGTCCTCGACTTACGACCGGTTGGGGTCGCGGCATTAAAAAGGTTGAGAACCACTGCACTAGAGGGCCCCAAACTTTTGGGCACCAGGGACCGGTTCCGTGGAGAGAGGTGTTTCCACGGACCGGAGGGTGCATGGTTTTGTGTGCTGCCTGCATCCTGCAGATGGGGCTTTGTTTGTGCGGGCAGATTGCTTGCATGCCGTGGCCCATTACTGGTCCACGGACCAGGGGCTGGGGACTCTTGCTTTACACTACTATACTTCTAAATTGCTGCTTTAAGGATGCTTGCATGCCTTGAAATAATTGACCAGTAGTTAAGCTTTGCACCACTCCTCCAACAAGCACTCAAACCACTTGCAAATCTCTCCTTCTGTTCAAACGTCATGGGCTCTTTGACATATTGCAAATCCAAACTTTCTGTGAACCATTTTGTGTTGTTTCAATTTGATTTTTTAACAAGACTGAAATACTGACAATAATTGGTCAATTTGAAAGGAGAGTGGGTAGTATATTTTATCTTTTGTAATAATTCTCAAATATTAACTACATTTCATTCCCCAGCGAGCTTAATACCCACTTCAGAGGATTTGATCCAGAAAAGTGGCTTAAGCAGTTAATTGACACTGAAAATCCAACTTAGATTTCCTTTTGCCATAGCACATCCTGCAATCCAATCTGGTTCAATTCCCTATTATTTCTCACTAATCATTATGATTACATTTGGTTACCTCAAACTTGAGCAATTTTATGCAAAGAAAGTATTTTATTTTGTCTATCCTCAGGTTATTATCTGTGAGCACTGACCAACTCTATTGACCAAACCCCAGTGGCTTTTTTTTTCAACACAGGTATATTTTCATATATAAAATCCAGTTTACATGATGAATGAGTCAAGGCACAGACCTCATCAGCTGATAATGAATCAAAACTCTCACTGAAGTTTCCAAGGACCAATTCAGCAAATTCATCATCCAGGTCTGCAACCTTTAAAAGATAACGCATTTCCAAATGACTAACATTTCACATTATTTATGTTAGGTCTGCTTGCTTGTTAATGAAATTAAGAAATAAAGGTCATGTAATTAATTTAACAATATGAAAATATGAATTCCCATTAGCTGCTAGCCTAAAAGTATCTTCCTTATTTAAGCTTATGCAGTTACAAATCTCTTACACCAGAGGTCAGCATCATGGCACCTAAAGAGACATGGGGATCTATTATATGCCTCAAAGGTGCCCATAGGACCAAAAATTGATTCAATTAAAATAAATAAAATGACCAAAATAGTAACATATCTTAGGATATTTCACAGGGGGGCAGGGGGCATTTTTTAGTGGAGACATCACCAAACAGCATCATTGTCTTAGTCTGATGTGAGCTAAAACGGATGAAAACGAAAAAGGTGGGATTCATTGCGGCCGCTCCAAAAATAGTACCTGCTTCCGGGACAAAGCCATGCGGCCTGGGAATGTCAGGGGTTGGAGCCGTCTGCTCTTCTTCCCCAACACAATCTCCAGAGCTTCTAGAAGATCTGCAGAAGGTGAGTGAGTGGTGATGAGGGGACGAACAGGAGGATGTAGGGTCCAGTGAGGTAGGAAGCAGCCCCAAGTCCTCTGGAGAGCCAGTGGGTGGGAAATGAGGCCCAAGGCCTGCAAGGACCCACTAGGGTAGGAAAGAAAGTCCAAGGTCTTCAGGGACCCTGAGGGATGAGAAGCTTCTGGAGGCAGAGAAGGCCTCTGGGAGGCCCAGGGCAGAAGTCCCAAGTCTGCACTAGGCCTCTCAGGGCCTCCAAACTCCTGAGGCACCCCATGCTCCCCTTCATGACCACATTTGGCAGAGCAGGGATGGGGATTGTTAAATAAGACAATTACATGGCTGCCTCGCTTAACCACCATCACAACTTGCAACCGTAAAGAGCAGGCACATTACAATCATATCAAGGACTAATAAATCAGCATGTAATGTTTACACTGGATAATAATAAATGAAACATGTATATTATTGTGTATTATATTATAAGCAACTGTCAAGTGTTGTTGGGCAATTCACAACAATCAATTTATATTAAAATAATGCTGGAGAGTCAATATGGTACAAGAATTAAGATTAGGTACAAGACTAGGACTAGAGGAATTGGGATTGAAATCTCTTCAGTCATTAACTATAGCATTCATCTAGTTGAATGAGGCTGAAAAGGATGCTATCTTTTATGCCATTCAGAGAAATGTGTGCTAATTAAATGATAATTTGCATTAAAGGTATTGCAAATGCTTGCCACCATCATAGGAGCAATGAAGATTTTAACAATACACACCCCAGAACTCTCTAATCACAAATGAGAACACAGCACTATTTTCATTATTTGATTATAGCAAATATATGTCGTTCTCAATGTACCACTTCTTATCACTAACTACCTATATTTATTTTCTCAAGCAGCTGTTCATCTGACACTATACAGCAAGCTCAATTAAATGCAGCCCATCCTCTCTGGCTAGTATTTCATTATTTCCAGATCAGCTTTTCCTGATTTATTTATTCTCCAAATGTGTGCACTGATTTTGAGAAGGCTTTTGTTGAGAATTCTGGGAGCTAAAGTCCACACATTTGAAGGGTGTCCAATATTTTTAAATTAAATTCTCATGTATTTTTTATGTATTTACTTTAGAACTTTACTTGTTCTATTAAGGTATGTCTTGCATCATTGGCATTTCTTAATAAGTTAAGATCGCCAGCTTCTTCCAAGGCTTTCTTCTGAAAGGTCTTTCCATCATCCAATCCAGTGACAGCATTCCAGATCACTTGGTCCTTGTTCACCACATCAATTATTCCTCTAAAAGACTTTGCCTCTCCAATCGGCAACTGTTACAAAAAACATATTAAAAACTGCCAGTGTCAGTAAGGTAACGCACAATAGCAGCAAAATAACACCAAACATTATTTATTAAGTATCTGAAGTCAAGAGACAACCATATCCCATTAAAAAAAATACTATTAGGCCTCCACATACTCCATCAATTATATTTTTTAAGAGGTACATGGTTCTTTGCAGAAACACCATTCGCAAAGGCAGGCACAGCAACAGAGAAGGAATGCTTCCTGAGTCTAAGAATGGCATGGTTTAATTCAGGGGTAGGCAATCTTGGCTCTTTTATGACTCGTGGACTTCAACTCCCAGAATTCCTGAGCCAGCCAGAATTCTGGGAGTTGAAGTCCACGAGTCATAAAAGAGCCAAGGTTGCCTGCCCCTGGTTTAACTGAAGTGACCCAAAACACATCAATTGCCTGATCTTCACAGACGGGCAGAAACTATGGAAGACAAATGGTCCCTCAAATACAGAGGCATGTCCACACAATCATGCCACTACATTCTGAACCAACTGTAGCTCCCAAGTAGGTTTTAAGGGCAGCCCCATGTAAACAGCATAGCAATAACAGAACTCTGGGGTAACTAGAGCTTGATTGTCTGAAGTGCCTGTCAATCGAGGGGGGCAGACACAATTGATGAAGTTGTGCAAAAGCCTGTTGGCCACTGATACTATCTATCTTTGAGCAGGAGCTGTCATCCAAGACAACCGCCACATTGCATATCAATTCTAAATGGAGAAGTACAACCCCATCCAAATGTCAGATAGAATTCCCACATCTAAGGGGCCCAAAACTCCACAGACACTCAATCTTGGCAGGAACCTGAGTCTGCCCTCCCCATGCAGACCCCGAGAATCTCTAGACATTTGGATAGTATATTGATGGCATCACTTAGTTTAGCACAATGTTGAGATGTATAATTGAGTATTAGCCCACAAACTTTATAATCCAGCCAAAATGCAAACTATATAGTAATAAGTAAGCCTCATTTAGCATTACAATTGAGGCTGGCAACTCACTTAAGTGAAATGGTCTCTAAATGAAACCATGACTGTACTTATGATTTTATTCATCTTTCCTTTGCTTTACCAACCTCCAAAGGTCATAAACATAAGGATGTCATGAAGTTACTTTTCCATCACTGTGTAACTGCGAACAGTCATTAAACAAGGCAGTTGCTAAACTAGGGCTACCTATATATAATTAATAAATATTAATCTCTTCCTAAAATTACCTGTAGAAGTAAAGGCTTCACTTTCAACTTTTGTTCGATACTCTCAACTGAATGGATGAAACTAAAGACAAAATATTATTGTTTTAGAGAGAACAATTACATTTCTTTAATCAATAATTCTCTTCTCCAAATTCCAAGGCGATACAACAGCTACAAAAATAAAAATAAGAAACGGTTATTTGACTATAAATTTTACACAAGATTTTCCCCAAAGGTGCTTTTTTCCAAAAGACAATCGGAATTTCCTGTTTTTCCCTTTGAAAATGTTTCGCTTCTCATTAAAGAAGCTTCTTCAGTTCAGTTCAGAAGCGAAATATTTTCAACAGGAAAAAAAACAAGAAAAAACAATTGTCTTTTGGAAAAAGCACCTTTGGGGAAAATCTTGTGTAAGCCAAATAATAGTTTCTTATTTTTACTTGAGACAACCAGAACCTGGATGATTAACATATACATTTACACAAGATTTGAAATAATTCATTCACCTGTTAACTCTATCCATTGATCTGTCATTTTTAAAAATTAATTATAAGAAACAAATGAACCTTTATAGTATGAAATATTATGTTTAACGAAAACCATGCTAATGCCAATTTCAACAATTAAGTCTATCAGAATGTATACAGATAATAACCCTACAGCAGATAACTTGTCCAAGCAAAAAGTAATTGAATAGGCTTTCACTAGTAAGCATCTTTGGTGGGACCTGGATGACATATTTGTTGTTTATGTGCACATATACAAGCATGTGTTTGTGTATATATGAATGTATGTATGTATGTATGTATGTATGTATGTATGTATGTCTATAAAGTATATAGTGTATAGAGTTACAAAATTGTAACTCTAAGTAGCAATAGCACTTAGACTTATATACTGCTCCATAGTGCTTCAGTGCACTCTCTGAGAGGTTTACAATATTGGCATATTGCCGCAACAATCTGGGTCCTCATTTTACCAATGTCAGAAGAATGGAAAGCTGAATCAACCTTGAACCTGCCAAGATCAAACTCTGGGCTGTGGGCAGAGTTACCCTGAAATACTACATTCTAACCACTGCACTATCATGGCTCTTTAGTTATTGATTACAAGATTGATTAACTATTAAGTTATAAGATTCTGTAATAGCCTATCATTCCACATTGTTGTAGTCCTTTGTTTCTCTGCCCTGAAAAATAATAGTTATTTTTGGTACCTTGCTCCATGTTTGTCCATCTTGTTTAAAAAGCAAATTCTGGGTATATGATGTTTGTCTGCTTGCCTCCAGACTGTCAGAGACTGTGCCTAAGCAAAAATATATATAGCATTAATCACTTCTGTTCAGTGGCAGTTTTCTGTCCCTTAAAAACATTCAAATATTTATTTCCATGATATACAAAGGAAAAAAAAACCTGTGCTTCTACTCATGAAATTGGCAATTAAGATGAATTTACTAGAAAACCTAGGGATTAACATAAGGAAGGTAGGAAATGTATGCAGACTGCAGGATACAAGTAGATGCAAAGAATTAAAAAAGAATAACTGCAGGGTTAAAGAATCCCAACTTTGAGAAAAGGCTGAAAAATTTGAGATTTTATTTTTTTTTAAAAGGAAGCAGGTAATACAATACAAAACCTAAGGATAAATGAGATGACAAGAGGGAATACTTTATGTCATATTAGAAGTTAAGTCAGCAAAGATTAATTGTAATAAATCACGGCATTGGTAGTACTAAAGCACAGACATTTTGGGTCACATTTTTAAAAAGCCATGTCTTATCAGTAGCATTGCTTATCTAAATACAACATTCAGATATGTATACTTTCCAATTACTGTGGAAAGACACAAAGATAAGTTATGTCCTGCTGGCAAATTCCAAGAGGAGTCTTATTGGTAGCTATTACTGGGGTTAAAAGGCCGTGATTAAATCCAGGAAAACATTTCTTCTGCTGTCACATAGATAATGCCCTCTTAGATCTGAGGGTAAATAGTCCATTCTGTAGGATTTGCAGCACAAGGGTCTGCAAAAATTGGAACTGGCTGATTATGCCTCATAACAGTTCCTAAAAGATACTGTTCTGTACTGGGGAAAGTTTTGTAAGTACTTGTAGAGGGAAGTGGGTGATGTGTAAGTTGTTTCACCTAACTCTCAGCTGCATGATCTTTGTGCATGTATACATGTGCATCACCTCCCCCATAAAAAGAAAAGAAAAAAACCCAGGCTGAACATCTGTTTTGAACTAGAGAGAAAAAGTTAAAAGTAACAAGAGTTTGTCCCTGTGAAAGCTGACTCTCTCTGTAGAATGGGAATGCTTAGGATGCTTGAAATTCCACAGGTCTGGTCACACTGTACTTCTTCCTTGTTTTTTTAACATATTTTTATTAAATTTCAAAACATGAATAAAAAGTAAACAAGCAAAAAGAAGGAACTAAAAAGAAAGAAAAGTCAAACTGACAGCAAGATACAGTTGCATTAAGAAAGAGAAAAGTAAAAGTAAAGAAAAACAGAATGGCCTCAGACTTTCTTCAGTAGATATAAAAAATACATTTAACTCTTAGTTTAAACTTAACACTAGTTTACATTATTATTATAATCTAATTATCAAGATCCCAAATCAAGATTTCAGTTCTTTCAGTTTCTCTCAAAAAGTCCAAAAGTAGCTTCCAAGCAGAAAAAAATGGGTCAGTCTTTTCTTTAATCAAAGCTGTCAATTTCACCATCCTCCACCAATTACATGCTGTGCTTCTTCCAACCCTTGAACTATATTTCCTTTTTGTTATTCAATGTGAATTTTTGGACACAGGTTCTGCCCACAGCACGTATCCAGCCATTCGAATGTATTACTCCCTGTATTTTTGTGTATGATATTTAGGATCACAGGGGGAGGAATCAGGTAGGAACCAGAGGTCCAGTAAACCAAATTGTTTATATTCACTGACCCTATGTCGAGAGAAAGTATAACTGCCACGCTGACCTAGGAAGGTATAAATAATAAGGCAGTCCAGGTGGATTTATCAAAAACAATTCATTATGCTGTAGTTTACATTGTGTTTACCTTTTTCTTTGTCTTGTCTTGAAATGTAATAAACAAAAGGAATATAAGCTCTGCTTTTGCTCAGGGCTGCTAAGCTATGTGCCAATGCTTTGCATGAATATACATTGTTTATTGTTTACATGCTTAATAACTTTATGTCGTATCTTCAATGTGATATGGTTGGTGTTTTAGGTAAGACAGATTTTGGCCACAACATTTTTCCCTGCAGCATACAGTTAGTGGAAGGAAGTCTTTAAGTTCTTGCTTTCTCTTGCCTTATGTTCTTGTCCTTAACCACATCCGAGACATGAAGCAAAGCCACCAAAGAGTAATTTTTACCTCCACACCAGCTGAAGCATCAAAAACAGCCACTGCCCCATCCAACACTCGCAAGGAACGTTCCACCTCCACAGTAAAGTCCACATGACCTAAAGTGTAGTCCACATGGAAAGGTAAAGTGTTTTGTTTTGCAATATTTTGTTTCTTAGTATTATCTTTTAGTACTTTAAAACTCTTTAATAAAAAGGTGGTGTTGTTTTTTTTAAAAAAGCATATTTTTAAGGATGTACATAGCCCTTGGAGGTGGCTAAGCCAAGAAAAATAGTGTGCTGAGCTGACTGCTCTCTTCCTGAAGAATCAGCTGTACTGTTCATTGTCATCTGGAATCACTTTGGCATGACTCTTCCAGTGAGCCCAATTCCAAACTGACGTTCCTCTAAAAAAAGAGGAACACATGGCGGCTGAGAAAGTGCCCAACTACAGGAATCGGGTGGCTAAAATCTCTCTGAAGGAAAAGACAAATTGTCAAATCAGCCATTTGTGCTTCCTACAGCTGCTTTTTTGGTGGAAAGCAGGGACTTTGTTTTTGCGGTCAGCTGTCGACCGGGAGTCGTGGGATTCCATTGTGCTTATAGCCACTAATGTTGCCTATATGGACACTAAGTTTGCCTGGATAATCTCTTAATCATTTTGGACTTTATTATTTTATTATTTGGCTTTCTTTAAAGGTTGAGAATTTCATACTGGCAAGTTTTATTGAAATCACTGGGTGAATGACCTTCGTTTCTTAAAAAAAAGTTTTATAATGATTTGTATTTTTGGGAATATATAGCAGTGGTGGCAAACCTATGGCACAGGTGCCAGAGGCGGCACTCAGAGCCCTCTCAGTGGGCACCCGCGCCGTCGCCCCAGTCCTAGGCCTTCAGCTGGGTTTTATAAAACCTTTTCGCTTTAGGCCTCAGCCACCATGTGCAAAAAAAAAAAAAAGGTTCAATCAGTCAACTTCTCGCAGGAAAAAAAAGATCTTGCAAAGTTGGGATTGATTGAACTTTTTAGTCCCACCCAGTCTGCCTTTACCACCGCAGCCACGCCCACCCAATGGGCCACACCCAGCCAATGGGCCACACCCACCCGGCACCCGCCGATGCATAAGTAGGTTTTGGGTTGCAGTTTGGGCACTCGGTCTCCAAAAGGTTCGCCATCACTGATATATAGCAAATGGATGACTATTGTTGGCTTTGGAAGGTTTTAAGTAAATTAACGACTCATATGGACTTGATTTAAGATTTTGATATTTATTGATAGTATTCTCTCTCCTGAGATAAACCTGCTTATTCTGATAAAAAGACTTTGAAGATTAGACATTAGAGGGCACCAGATGGCTACTTTAAAAGAAACATTTGACTCATGGAGACAGGAGGTTTTTGAACTACTGAACTTTATTAGCATCAGCTGGTCGGAATGGGAGGACTTGATGCCCCTGTCTTGATGCAGCCAGCAGGGGGCAGCCTTCTCACCACTGCTGAGTCCTTGCTGCCATCATTTTTTTGCAGGACATCTCAGGGATAATTTGCTGCAGGGATAACTTGCTGCGGGCGCTGGATGGAGAGCTAGGAAAGTGGGCGAGCAAACGGGCTATCAGAGGGGGGCAGCAACGGGCGGTGCTGCACCGGATGCAAAGGTAGTGGGGCAGGGGTGTCAAATGGGAAGCCCCCGCTGCCACGCAAGGTTTTTTCAAAGCCACGTTGCTTAACGCTTGAAGGAATCTTGCTCTGAAAATAAGGGCAGCTTTGGGAAGCAATGGGGTGGGATGTCAGTTTTTCTTAAAAGTTTAAAAAAGGCTTGTTTCGAGTTGCATTCAAATCCTTGCCCATCAAGCAGACTGTAAAGTTTGCAGCCGCATTTAGCTGCAGGTCTGATATACTACAGAAATGGGGCTGTGTGCACAGGAAGGTTTGGAATCCAAAGTGGAAAAAAACCCTCTTCTCAGCATTACTCTTTTCACAGCATTGGTGAGCATTTTCTTTTTTTTTCCTTTTCAGCATCTTTTACTTTTTTTAATATATCTCTTTTTGTAGCTGCATAAATTTTACTTGCATAATACAATCCTCAATAAAATAACTGAAAAAGTGAAATCACTTTGCCATTACGTTCTTAAGCTTGCCATGCTCTTAGCATTAAGACATGGTACCTGGTGTATCTATCAGGTTGATTCGATGGCCTTTCCAGTCAAACGTGACAGCAGCAGATTGAATGGTAATGCCACGTTCCCGTTCCTGTGCCATGAAATCTGTTACCGTATCACCATCATCAACATCTGTTTAATAGAAAGAGCACGTTTTTAATCAACTAACTTGAGCTCTTGGTAACATAATAAATGTTATAGAATAAACACCTGGTGATCCAACTGATTACTTAGTTGGACTGGAAACGTATATGGTTTTGATTTACAAAACAATGGCATCAGCCTCACCACTGCCTCTCTCTTAGACTAGTGCAAGAAATGTTGGGTGATCAGTTGCCCGAGGATAAATAAATACTGAAAACTCATTTTTAATTGCTGAGGGGTTGGAGGGGGGGCCTGGGGGGGATGAAAAGAGAAAAATCAATACAGCTGCAATGTTTGTCAATATCCCATGTTTTAAAAGCACGAGGATTGCAAGCTAAAAAAATGCAACCCCAAGGGGAAGAAGACAGGGAAGAGAAAAGCAGATTAAATTTTAATCGTCACAGGTCATGCTAAATCATAATGCAATTTGCTCAGGTCAGATACTGGTCTTAGCAAATCTGCAAGAAACAGTTTTCATTCATGTCTCATAGATTTCAGAGCCTATGAAGGGAGCTTTGCAAGTTCACAGAGATAGCACTTTGTCTTGGTGTTGATAGCTGACTCCCCTCTTTAAAGAAAAGTTCACCTCTAAGTTTGTAGGAAGGGGGAGCTGGCCAACCGAACTCCTGAAAGGGATAGCAAAGATGGCAATAAATTTCCTGCAGTTATACCTAGTTCAGGGGTAGGCAACCTTGGCTCTTTTATGACTCATGGACTTCAACTCCCAGAATTTATCTGAGAAATAGGATTTTGCTGAAAATACTTAAACAGAAAGTTTAAACGTGAAGAAAATAAAATAATTTTAACTGATATGAAAAATAATTACTGCACTTAATTTTTTTCTTATCTCTCTCACCACTAACCTCCAAGGATTCTTGTGTAACCAGAATAATACAGCATTCTCTCTGTAGTTGTTGTTTTTCCTGCATCTATGTGGGCCATTATACCTATGTTGCGGATCCTGAAGAAAAAGACAAAGGTTTTTTTATTTAGTTATCATTTTTAAATGTAAAATTATTACAATTTTGCACACAATGTACAAAGAAAGCAACTGTTTTCATCACAATCCAAGTGCATCTCATTATTCATAATTCTTAGAGAAATAAAATAGAGAATAAAATAACAAACCCATTTTAGTTATAGTATATCATGTTGAAATGTTATGTCATAAACTATGTAAGAAGTTTGGTTGGGATCCAAGAGAAAAGTTTTTTCTGTTGTTTCTCCTCCATTTCTCTCCCCCCCCCCTCACCCCAGGAATATTCTCCTCCCGAAGGCAAGGTCCACCACTACACTCCTAGCATTCTGGAACAAACTAAATAACTGACTTTGCCACTTGGCCTGGGGCCCCAACACAGGCCTGGGGGCTTCAACAGAGGCCTGCTATGTCGGGGTGACTGACTGGATAGAAAAGAACTGCCCGTCCCAGGCCACCCATCATCATGGTTTTTACCTTGTCTATTTAATCTTTTCTATTCAATTTTTCTATTTTTTTCTAGCATTTTTTAATCTTTTATTATATTGTACAGAGTTGCTGTACCAGTGATTTGGACAGCATACAAATTTAATTAACAAATAAATAATAGATGTATAAGTGAATGATGGAAATAACTTATGATACGTGAAATATTCTTGATGAAAGCTTCCTCTCTTCCTTCCTTTAAAATGCAAAGTTTATACTTTTTTAAAAAATCAGTAAGATTAAAACCAATATGCAAGGTTTATTTCTTGATAAACAACTTAACTCCAATCCAAGATCTTGAAAGTTAAATGGTCTATTTAATGTCAATATTAAAACCGAAGTGACTTTATATATATAGACTCTGATGAATGAATGTAGAGAACATTTGGATTAAAAATGGAAGAATGATTAAAACATTTAAAATAATTTTGTTAGTGCCCACTATGACTTGTCCAATTTAAAAGGTGTGAATGATACTTTCTATAAGACCGTGGAAGACCTTGCAAAGAAGCAGGAAATGGTGAGGAACCTTAATTAATTGTTAATTAAATAAAATCACCAGGCATCTGGTGGAAGGCAAATTCTGCCAAATTTTTCTTTCAAGAAATTGTTGGCTTATACCAGTGATGGCGAACCTTTTAGAGACTGAGTGCCCAAACTGCAACCCAAAACCCACTTATGCATCCTCGAGTGCCGGGTGGGTGTGGCCAACTGAGTGGGCATGGCCAACTGGGTGGGCGTGGCTGCGGTGGTAACTGCAGACTGGGTGGGACTAAAAAGTTCAATCAATCAATTCCAACTTTAAAAGATCTTTTTTTCCCCGCGAGAAGTTGAAATTGACTGATTGAACCTTTTTTTTTTTTGCACATGGCGGCGGAGGCCTAAAGCGAAAAGGTTTTATAAAACCCAGCTGAAGGCCTAGGACTGGGGCGACGGTGCACATGCCCACAGAGAGGGCTCTGAGTGCCGCTTCTGGCACCGGTGCCATAGGTTCGCCGCCACTGGCATATACCGTGAATCATTTTGCATTTCACATAAAAACAAAAAAATTCTAATGTAACTTAAACATTTGTTGCCAAATGAGTTTTCCAGTCTTATAACCAAGGAAGCCTTGCTAGATTTTACATACTATATAAAAAAAAGGGTTATTACTTACTTAGATATTGGTGGAGTTAAAACAGAACGTAAAGATTTTACTTCACCTGTGAAATAGAAAAATTGTTGACATTTACATTTGTAATTATCTTAATAAATAGAAAGCATCATGTTTACAGTACATGCAGGCTCCAACCAGAGATACTCTGCTATTGGAGGAAGGTCCTTTTTCCATTTCAAAAAATAAACAACACTGCCTATTTCAAAAATGCTAATAATTTAATCTGGAATGTGGGAAGGAATGTCTAAATTCATTTTATCACAAAAGATTACCAGCAATTAGATTTGATAATCCACTTGGCTATTTAGCAAAAGATTCATACTACAAATTCACTGCATACATGACTGGGGCTCACAGAGGATTTATTCCCTATCAACAATGCATATGTAAATATATTGTGCAGCATGCATTCTGGATAAAAAAGCATTTTTTACAGGATCAGGTTAAATATTTTTAAAAATATTTCACAGAATAATCAGGAATTAACCTGAAAAATTAAGAACTAATTAGGAACTTTTTATCTTCTTTCGGTTGCATAATTTCACTGTAACAGAAAGCACTAACCATGCAATACTGAAATGAAGGCAATATTCAAACTGGTGCTTCTATTTCTTTATCTTTATAGCAGTGTATTAAAGAGTCAAAAGCAATACAGATTTAGAATTACCTTTTTCAAGAAATTACCTGCTGGATGACTGTAATTTCTTTGAAGATTCAAAAAGTCTTTGAAGCGTTTTATAGTAATAATTCTTGCTTTTCTGCAATGTGTACACTTTGAAGAAAAAAAATACCCATCAAAATAGTCATTACTTTGAAATCTCTTTTTTAATGTGTTAACAGCATATTGCTGTTAGAAAATGCTAAAGAATTGAGGCCTTTGAACTATGGTGCTGGAGAAGACTCCTACGAGTCCCTTGGACTGCAAGGCGTTCAAACCAGTCAGTCCTAGAAGAGATCAACCCCGACTGCTCTTTAGAAGGCCAGATCCTGAAGTTGAAACTCAAATACTTTGGCCACTTAATGAGAAGGAAGGACTCACTGGAGAAGAGCCTAATGCTGGGAAAGATTGAGGGCAATAGAAGAAGAGGACGACAGAGAATGAGGTGGCTGGATGGAGTCACTGAAGCAGTAGGCGTGAGCTTAAATCAGGGGTTCTCAACCTTGGCAACTTTAAGACTTGTGGACTTCAACTCCCAGAATTCTGGGAGTTGAAGTCCACAAGTCTTAAAGTTGCCAAGGTTGAGAATCCCTGGCTTAAATGGACTCCAGAAGATGGTAGAGGACAGGAAGGCCTGGAGGAACGTTGTCCACGGGGTCGCGATGGGTCGGACACGACTTCGCAACTAACAACAACAAAAGAAAATGCCAATTTATTCTAGATTATATGGTGGGTCTTTGAGACACATTAATGCACACAACACCCCAGTATCCTGAACCCTTGCTTTATATTATTAATTGCTAATATTGTTCCAATCTCTTTTTTTTTTCCATTTTCACACGCATACTGAAAAATCACGCCGTATAAACGTACCCCTTGGAGCGAGGGCACGATCATTTTTCTCGTGTGGCGTAGCATGTTCACCGGCCAGCCTAATCATGTAAATCGCTGCTACAGAAAAGGCTTAATAGTTTTGGCAGAAAGCACTTAATGCTACGGAAATCGAGGCATCAAATAAACCCATACGATAACACCACCACCATTGGGTCGTAACGAGATACCCCCCGAGAACCAAAGGTCCTCCACTCCTTGGAGGCTCCGAGCGCCGAAGACAAAACGGAGCGGGTTTATCCGGAAGCTTTCGGTTTACTCCCCACGTGGAAGGCATCACTTCCCTCGCAGCGGGCCTGCTTCTTTTCTTCCGCTCCCTCCACACGTTCCGGGAAGCATCCAAAGAAAAAGCCTGAGCGCAATTGTTTAGTTTTGCTTTTTTTTCCCCCTTCCCCTCAGCCATTCATCTTTTCGTTTCACCGTACACTTCAGACGGTCCGGGAGGGAGGAGGAATCGCCAAACACCTGAGCTCCTTCGCTAGTCGGCGGAACGGGCGAAGGTGGAACTGGATATTACCCGGACTTGTTTGACTGTCGCTCTTCCTTTTTTCTTTCTGGCTCGAAAGAAGGGTCTGCTTGGGCTTCGGGCGCCGAGTTACAATGGTGAGTGGATTGACCGACCGTGGACTTCTTGAACGGAATGGGATGGAGGGGAGGCTTTCAAGGGACCAGGGAGCTGCCTTGTGGAGGACAAAAGAGAAAGAGGAGAAGTCGGTACTCGGGAGTCCCCGCTTATTATTCGTCGTTTACAATCGGGCTGGTAGCTCAGACTTCAGTCTAATTATACGCCTCGCTGAGGCTGCAGCTGATCTATATGGATCTCCCAAGGATTTGCATCTGAGTAGGCTTGCATTTTGTATTGGATTGTAGTTCAATGTTACATCAACAAACGTCCTTTTTATAGCACGAGTGGCTTACTTGCTGCCTGGCTAATTCAAGAGCAGAAAGAAACTAAGGCGGAACTAGGCAGTCAATGACTTTTCAGCTGTTGATGAACTACCGTTTCCAGCAACCCCGGCTGCCAGTAATGGGGTATGGTGAAGGATAATGGGAGGTGTTCAGTATCATCTAGTACAGGGGTAGGTAACCTCGGCTCTTTTATGACTCGTGGGCTTCAATTCCCAGAATTCCTGAGTCAGCTATGCTGACTCAGGAATTCTGGGAGTTGAAGTCCATGAGTCATAAAAGAGCCGAGGTTGCCTACCCCTGATCTAGTAGATCGCAGATTCTACATTTCTGACTAGAAAGATATTCTTTCTTTTTGTGTGTGTATCTCTCCTGGGCTATGTTTCATATTTGTGCAGAAACTGTATGCTTTTATAAATTAAAGTTTGTGTCATTAATTGCATAAAGCATTACAAAATGGAAAAAGATATGAGATATGAGATACAAAACCATGCTGTAGTCAGATTTGTTAAGAATCATCAGCCTAATACAGACAGCTGCTATTAATAAACTGATTAACACTTGCAATAGCATAAAACCTTTTCATGTATCAAGTGAAATTGATAGAAATTGATTTTTTGATAAATTTTTAATCAAATGTTTCTTGCTAGAGTTTCACTTTGAAGTATTGTGGCTGTTTGCTTAAAATGGCTAAAGTGAAAACCGTGAAAATAAAATGGATGCGGGGCTGAGGATATTTTATTTTTAAGTGGCTTTTCTATATTTTTAGATTTGTTACTTAGTGATAGATTCATGTGTAGTTACTTGGAGACTAAATATGTATGGCAATATGTCAGTTTCAGATAGAAATATGCTGAAATGAAAACCACAAAAATAATATTTATATAAATACAGACACTGAAAAACTGATGGGTATAATTTTAACAGTTTAATTTCTATTTTTTTCTCTAATTCACAGCCACAAAACGAATATATAGAGTTACATCGGAAGCGATATGGCTACCGCTTGGATTACCATGAGAAGAAAAGGAAGAAAGAAGGTCGTGAGGCTCATGAGCGGTCAAAGAAAGCCAAGAAAATGATCGGATTAAAAGCTAAACTGTACCATAAACAGCGCCATGCGGAAAAAATACAAATGAAAAAGACGTGAGACAACTTTTATTATAAACTTAAGGACTTTGATACAATAAATTGTACTGCTGCGATCTAGTCTTATTGGAATGTATGCTGATTATTTTTGTGTATATCCATTAGTCAGACTTTAGATACAATGACATTAGTATAGTTTTCTTGAGGCACTTGTTTTAGGAAAAGTGCTTCATGTTACAGTTGGTGTTAATGTTGCATATTTTGTCTATAAGTAGTATGATTCCCTCTTAAGCTTTGGAATCCATTTAAGATCTCTATTACTAAACGTTTTCATTGGGCAGTGTTGCTGATTTAGTGCTAAATTAATTTGGAAACATCTGAAAAGCACCTTGTTGTATCTATCCCTCTAGTATTAAGATGCATGAAAAGAGAAATAGCAAACAGAAGAATGATGACAAGACCCCAGAAGGCGCTGTACCAGCATACCTGCTGGATAGGGAGAGCCAGTCTCGAGCAAAAGTTCTTTCCAACATGATCAAACAAAAACGAAAAGAAAAAGCTGTAAGTCATACAGATGCTTAAGTTAATATAATTTGCAAGGATATTTACTGTTGCTTTAAAATACCGATTTTCAAAATAATGACTCTAGTATTTATTCAAAATATTGAATGCTAATTCCAATATTCTGTTCTAAGGATATTAGTTTGCATATATGATGAGGAGTTACTGGATTTGTCCAAAAATCTACATAAGTGTTTTAATTTCCTTAGTACTTTTATATCTCCCACTTTGGAATATAAGTATAGCTTTTTAAAATATCTGATTACTTGTATAAAGCGAAATTAAATTGGTATACAGGAAATTGCTAGAAAACAAAGAATTGGCCTTAAAACACTTTGCTGGGAAGAAATACTTATATATTTTCTGTATTTTTCCTCTTTGTGGGAAGATATAGCCATTTCTGGCTTTTTCAAAAGTGCAGGGCAATATTTAATAATAAATTCCTATTGCTCTACTCTCCAGTATAAATGAGAGGAATTTTATGTCCTCCTCTGAGTATTGGAAGATCTCCTCTGCCTGTTGCAAAGCTTATTTTGATATACTTTTCCTGTATATCAATGTTCTTGATAGGAAGAACAATAAGAGTCGGCGGTGTAATCAAACCAGATTTTACAGATTTCCCACACTGATGCAATCCAACTGTAGTAGTAGTAATTATAACCCTATCAAAGAAAATAAAAATAAAGTACAAGTTCTAATTCCAAAGTAAAATAGATAAAAAGAAAATACAGTAATAAAATATGTGGTAAATGCAATGAATCAGATAAATACATCACCATTTCATGATACCCCAATCTGTTCAATATGGTTCTTAGCTGGACTATCTAGACTATAAGCTTAGTATTTCTGCTCACAATGTATATGTTACAGCCCAGGAGGAAATAGAACAATCTGTGATTTAAGTCCCAGTGAGCTGTTCTTTCAAGTAGGTCTGTTAAACATCTAAGCCTGAAAGGGACATAGAGTTGACAATCAAACAAACCATTAGCAATAACCTCAATGGTTGGGGCACTGTCTGTACAGTTCCTCTGTGGCTTGTGATGCAGATACAATCATTCTGTTATTGTGTTAGACAAACTAGTATGTTACAAAATTAATGAAGCAATGTGTGCCCATATGTCATTTCCCATCTTTTTCTCCCTAACATTACAAATTACTTATTTTTAGGGGAAATGGGAGGTTCCTGTGCCCAAAGTCCGGGCCCAGGGAGAAACAGAAGTGCTCAAAGTGATTCGCACAGGAAAACGAAAGAAGAAGGCTTGGAAAAGAATGGTTACCAAAGTGTGTTTTGTAGGGGACGGCTTTACCAGAAAACCTCCAAAATACGAGCGCTTCATTCGACCAATGGTAAATATTAGTTGTAGTAGGTTAGTAGTTAATTTGCTTTTTCATGTTCAGTCTTCAGTAAAGATGCCCCACCCATGGCAGCAGAGGAGGCATGCTGTAGGTCCCATCGACCAAAGTATTCTGGCTGGCAGAGTGTAGAGCCTTCTCTACCATTACACCTGCCCTTTGGAACATCTTGCCACTCAAGAGTGCGGTCGGCTCCAACCCTCCCCATCTTCCACAAGAGCTTAAAGACCTGGCTCTGCCAATTGGCTTAGACCTCCAATGGAGGGGTTTTACATTGGGGTGATTGATAGATGAATAATAAATCCCGTCTCCCACCCTGCTTATCTTTCTCCTTCCCTCCCTATCTTTTAGTTAGAGCTGAGTATTTGTATTTTTATAATATTTAATTTATATTGTCTATAAATTTTCTATAGTTTTATCTTTTTAATATTGTAAGCCACCCAAAGTTTCGCTGTGATAAAATGGGCAGCCAATAAATTTAATAAGTAAATAAAATGAGAAAGACATAGTGGTACATTTAGCAATCGTGAAAAAGAGGACAAGCTACCTGGAACTGGTCACAATTGCAGTCCACCAACCTAGTGGAAATCGGAGTCATAAACAGCTGTTAACTTTTCTATTTATTTATTTATTTATATTTAAACTTCTATGCCGCCCTTCTCCCCAGAGGGACTCAGGGCGGCTCACAGCATGTTAAAAAACAACACAAAAAAAAAAAACATTTCCCCTATAAAACCAATTAAAAGCAAATATATTAATAGCTGTGTCATATTTAAAATCTTTGAAAATTTTTAAAAATTATTCCCTATTTAAAATTCACCCTAGGTCAGTCCCGCTTGTTGAAAAAGCCATGTCTTGGCGCGGCGGAAGGTTAGGAGATCCGGAATCGTCCGGATCTCGGGGGGTAGCTCGTTCCAGAGGGTGGGGGCACCCACAGAGAAGGCCCTCCCCCTGGGGGTCGCCAGCCGACACTGCCTGGCCGACGGCACCCTGAGGAGGCCCGCTCTGTGGGAGCGTACCGGTCTGTGGGAGGGAATCTGTGGCAGAAGGCGGTCT